GGGGCCCTTAGGTCACCCGGGGGCCCCCAGGCCGCCCAGGCGACCAGGGGCCCCAGGCAACCAGGGGACCTCAGGGGTTCCAGGCAACCAGGGGCCCCCATGCGACCAGGCCCCGCTACCAGGGGCCCCCTTGGCGACTAGGGGCCCCGCGATCATGGGCCCCCATGTGACCAGAGGCCCCCATGCGACCAGGCCCCCGGCTACCAGGGCCCCCTAGGCGACTAGGGACCCCAGGCAATCAGGGGCCTCCATGCGACCAGGCCCCGGCTACCAGGGGCCCCCTAGGCGACCAGGGGCCCAGGAAACCGGGGGCCCTCGGATAACTGCAGGGGCCCATCGGGTCATCAGGCCTCGGGTAACCAGGGGCACATAAATGAAACTTTGATATCATTTTTTTCTTCCTAGTAAAAGACGTTGTATCCAGTGTCTAAAAAAATATACCGGGGCCTGAGTGGCCCCCTGAGTGCCTTCGGCGCTCAGGAGGGGGCCATGGCCCCCGTGCTCCCCCCCCCCCCCCCACTGGGTAGGTACGTCACTGTACAGTGTACTGGTCCTTAGATAAATGCTTAGATGGATTGTCAAAATAAATTCAGCGATCGCCGATATAATCCGTCCCTTTATACGCAAAGAGATCTGTTTTCACTCATTGCCAAAGCGATTCATAGATGGCTCTGTGATCAACGCCTGCATGAAGCTGTGCCGCACTACACCTCCAAGTGATTGCAGAATTCACCTGTAGATGTCAGGCTAGGATAGAGCCGATCTGTCGCTCGCAGAAAGCAGCCCGCCACCTGCTGTCAGAAACAGAAAGCATAGTTTGTTATAATTGTTCATAGATGGCGGCATACATTCCTTTTGAAGCCGCTTTTGCCTTGTATGCCTTTTCAAGGCGTCATTAAGCGTTTCATTGTCTTTATTTATATGGTTTTATTCTTCAGTTTCTTCTCAATTTCTTTTTTCAGCTATAAGGACGTTTTCATTATTTTCAGCTTCATTTATTAGATAAGTGTGGATAATTCAAGGCCAGCGCATGTGCATGACGTTCAATGTAACGTGTGGAGTGAGACATGCAATATAAGATATTTTTAGATCAAAATTAATAATAACTGTTTGTAACAATGGTTTTTCGACAAATTTTTACTAGAATTTCCGAAAAGGCATGCGATTTAGGAAAATGCAGTAAATTTACGTCATTTTCTTTGGCAGTGAGCAACTGACACTGTTTTCTGCTACCGTAAAATGAACAACCTTGATAACAACGAAATGTGGCGATTTTTAGCGAGTCAGTTGCGTTGCCGAGATTGCAGAGGAAGGGTCGTGCGTTAAAAGAAAGGATCGTTGCTCAGTCCCAAGTTGTCCTGTATCTTCTGGGATAAAGCTGTTTTCAGAAGCATCCTGTCAATAGCACTTAAATATCAGACTACCTTGACCTAGCTTAGGTGGCATCACCTCTTGGTTCTGCTTTGGGATGCCACTTGTCAATCTGGTTTTGATGCTAATCTAGGCATATTTTTTAATATTCAGTCTAATAATGCAACCTAACATAAAAGTGGGAGCAACCGCTTCCATTGGTATTTGCATTCTCATTATTGGCTGTGTGCTGGGCTGGTACGGATTTCCAGTCATCATTGACAACATGCTTGAAAAGGTGAGTCATTTGGGTGAGTGACAAATAAAAATGTTTGGCTCTAGATTATTTAGTTTGTTTGATCATATTTTACTTTGAAATAGCCATTTTCTCTTTAGCTAGGCACATTGTTTAGTTGAGATGAATTGCATTAGGTACTTACCAAATATTTGAGATTTTAAAATACTTACGTAACCCAGATCGAGTGCTGCAGTGACCTTGTGCCACAAGGTAGAGTCTTTAAATGCTGTGTACTTTAAGGTAAGGTATACAAGTGTGAGTCAGGTTGAATCAGATCAGGTGTATCAGTATGAGTCAAGGTCACAATAAGTACATCAGCATGCTCACAGTTTGGTAGGTAGCATGTGCATTTGATGAGATGCCCACATACCTACACTTGTGTATGCCACTAAGAGATATCCATATGACCATGAAGGCCTAGACCTATTTCAATTTCATCTGTCTTAAGGGTTGGTCACCAATAATCTATTATCTGGTAACCTAGCAAGTGATGCACTGCTGTGCAGTCAAATGGGATAGGTAAATGGGATATTTTTTATTTATCCTTGGGAAAAGTTCAGTGAATTATGGTAATTTCTCACTTGTTTAGGTATCTGGAACTAAGTGCTGATGCTGCTAAATTTGTTGCTGAGTATTCAATGCATTTTCTGCAATGAAAATGTAACCTGCATACAGGTAATAGGTTGATAATGTTGTTCCTCCACCCTCTTTTAACTTTTAGTCAAGCAATGTTGTTTCTTGACTATAGTTTCAGTTCCCTTTGAGAGTTTTTACTGATTTTTACTGATTTTACTGGCCATTCCAAGGCAAGCACAGCAATAACCCTGGAGGTATTTGTAGTAGTTCAGCATCATATCATCCAAATTTAGTCTGACTGATTTTATAGAGCAGGTGCAAAATCAGCTGTACATCAAGACCATATAAGTAGGTATGTACATGTCATATGTGGTTGACATTGATTTACCTACCTGACAATGCATATTTGAAACCCCTTTTTGTCCAACACCAGTCCAGTGGAGCTATTTCTCCATATTTTCCTGAAGTCACACTAATGGCACCTATGAGGTAAATATCTGATATATCTATCTAATAGCAGTACCCCCGGCCGGTGCTCGTGTCCTGGCCAGACACCGGTCGTCATCGTTCGGTCATCGCTCGCCGATTTATCTGCCCATTCCCACCGTTCCGGCCCCGCCCGCTCCGTCCGTCCCGTACCGCCCGCCACGGGCCGGGCCTCAGCGGCCGGCTCTGCCTCGGTGCGTGCTATCGAGACTTCTCATCGGCCGGTCGCGCGTGCTGCCGGCGTGCCTCACTCTGGCGCACTGCCGTGTCACGAGGCTGCTGAGTCAATCTGAAAAGTGGCGCAGCCCGCTGCACGAGATGGCTCGCCGGGCCGGCGGCGCGGCGGTGCCCTGACCGGGCACGGGAAACGGATAACCGGACTTCGCCCTGTAACTGGAGGCGTCAGACGCACTCCGCCGCTGGTGGCCGAGTCCGTCACTTTTTTTTCTTCGGATTTTTAAGCCATAGAAGGGGTCTGGACTGGCCTTGAGCTGTATAAATGGCATTGCTTGCAACTCCTTGTGCAGACCAAAATGTTCCTTTTCAATTGTCTGCGCTTTTCGTTCTCCATTTCATTGCTTCTGTAAATCTGTAAATGCTCGGTAGTCTAACCAAAGTCGCTGATATCGGAAGCCCGTTTGAAAGCCGTGACTGAGACGTCCGTCCGACTTGCTGTTCGGAGAATCAGCGGTACGGCGGTGAGTCGGCGGGTCCGCTAGGAGGGAGGGCACCGAGTTGCGATAGTCGTGCATGCATAATGCGGCCTGTGGAGTACAGGTGACCGCGTTACCCATTTACGCTGTGCAGTGGAGATCCTGTTGACCGTGGGGTCTATTCGGCGGCCGACCGATGGCAGACGAGACCAAAGAAAGGAAAAGGCTGATGCGAAAGTGCAAGTGACTTCCATGAATGCTGGTCCAAAAGTCTTGAGGAATGAAGTCTGCATTATTCCTGCGTATTAAGTCTATCGTTTAAACATTGAAACTTTGCTCAGGTTGTTTGGTTGGAAGATATATTGCACGATAACTGCACATTGGAGCTTGCAGTTGACGTGTAATGAGCGCCTGTCTAGCCCACCAGCCAGCTGTCACTGGCGAGGCAGGCTATGGGGCACACGAGAGCTCCCTGGAATATTGCGACCATTACCGCGGAGGGAATCACCGCTCGGCACTGTGACGTAAGCGCGACAGGGCCCGGACGCTGTGCCGGATGTGGGGCAGGAGGGAAAGTGTCGGATCTGACCACTCCAACTGCTCAGTGATGGCCCGAAAGTGCACACGGCAGCAGAAAGCTGCGGCAGACGCCGGGGCGGAGATGGCTCCGCGGAACGCCAGAAGTGGCGTTTTCTTACGTGTGTGACCGACTCTTTCAACGTTTTCTGCACTACAGGAGAAGCCAGTTGTCATATCAGAGCTACCTGTTGGTCCACTTCGTTCGATGCTTGAAAACTGACCCCTTTGAATCTTTCTATGAAATTGCGAAGGCCTGGAGAACCCAATTATCTCGCAAAGGATGGTCGTTACTTGCGTTAAACGAAGAGAACTGTGATACCTTTGCGAATCCTTTGGGTCTTCTATCGGCAACGGTGAGCTCAGTGTACTGAGCCAATTAAATTGAGTCGTTTCAGCGAAGTGGTATCATCCCTTAAATGACACGCCTCGCCCTATCCTGATGATTGCTTGTTCGTCTTGTTGGCCGGCTGTTGAGCCTTGGTCCGAGCGTCAGGATCGCTTTGAAGGCCAAGTAACTGTGTCTCTTTTTGTGACTTGTTCAGTACGGGTATTGGGACGATTCGTTCCGTAGGTCATCTGAAACCTTAATATATTTTTATGTTTGGGGAAACAAATGTCTATCTATCCTTACTCAATACATCCCATTTTGTTGGCCGACATTCAGGAGATGGGCGCAAAATGACCTTGTAGTCGGCGCGCCCTTAAGCCCCAATAAACAAACAACAACAACGAAGTTCAGGAGAGAATGACTGAGAGCATTACACGATCCAGCCCGTTACATATACGTACCTTAATTGGTAACCTTTTTGTCATACAAAACACTACAAAGCAGCAGCTTTGGGCCACACAGTATTTTCGCCTCGCCTTCCGCAAACCGAATTGAGACCTAACTACGACACATCACACCACTTTTGAAATCCTAGGCGTGTAGCCCTTTCTTTACGCCCTTAGCCCTTAGACCTAACTACGACACATCACAGCACTTTTGAAATCCTAACCGTGTAGCACTTTCTTTACCCTCTGCCACTATGTGACTCCCTGACTGTCTCTCCCGGCAGAGCATGGTGCTGACGCCAAGCTCAGAGAGCCTGGAGGGCTGGCAGGCGCCCACGGACAAGGTGGACGTCTTCATGCAGTTCATCATGTTCAACGTCACCAACGCGGAGGCGGTGATCGCGCGCGGCGAGAAGCCGATGCTGCAGGAGGTCGGCCCCTTCTCCTACAGGTAGGTCAGCAGCGCGAGCGGTGTCGGCAGAGACGAGTCGGGTCAGAACGGCTGCGGATTTATTGGAAGGTGGGCAATGGCATGACAAGCTACTTTTGGACATTGTTCGGTTATGTTTTGAGTTGTATCAACCCTTGAGTTGTGCTTCATAGTTCCCGTGGCGTGATTTGAAACTTGAAAGCATTTAAAACCCTGTTGCTGTGAAGTTCGTAGTAGATATCTATATTGGTATTATTCAATGGCTTATAGTTATTACGAGCGAGCGAGCGCAGCGAGCGAAGTGAGTCTTTTCAATATAACAGAAAAATCTCAGTATGAGCGGCCCGGCCCGGCCCGGCCCAGCCCGGCCCAGCCCGGCCCGGCCCGGCCCGGCCCGGCCCGGCCCGGCCCGGCCTGTAACGCTTTTGAGAGGCTTATATCTCAGCAACCGCTGGACCGATTGGCCTGCGGTCTTTTTTACTGGGTAGCCCCATCCCTTCTACCCCGTAATTGACTACTTTTGATACATCTCAGTGACCGCCGTGGCACGTGCCACGTGAAAAGTCAAGGGTGTTCAAGCAGTTTTGCAAAAGTAATGATTTTGAGAGGCCCATATCTCAGCAGCGGGTTGAGCGATTGTCTTGCGGTCATTTTTATAGGGTAGCTGCATCCCTTCTACCAAAGGTCGGATATTCTTGATCTATGTGAGTGACCCCCACTGCACGTGCAAAATACAACAATAAGAGGTGCTAAATTTGTTCCCATTTCAGTAACTCGGTAATTACTGGGGCAATTTCGCTGAAACTTGGCATACAGGTAGGCACCCACCAGGCAATGCATTCCCATGTGTTGCGGTTAGGGTGCTACTGCACGTGCGCACGTGCAGGGGGCGTTTCCAGATCTCGAGAACGGCTGGGCCGATTGCGCTCAAATTTGGTACACGGTTGGGGACCGGTTAGTAGGGTGCCGTGCAAAAGTCATTTTGGACCCCGTTTGCACGTGCGCACGTGCAGAATGCCGCTTCCAGATCTCAGGAACGGCTGGGCCGATTGCGTTCAAATTTGGTACACCGCTAGCGACCGGTTAGAAGGGTGCTTTGCACAAGCCCGTTGGAAGTACCCTCTCGCACTTCTGCACGTGCAGGGCTCACTATCTCGCTCGCTCGTTCTTCGCCCAAAAGGCGTTTTACTGGTATTAGTTCAGTAGTTTGATAGAGTCGTGTTTTGTGTCCGTGCTGAGCAGTCTCGAAGCTGTAACGCTGCCGTTGATGAACTGATCGGTTGATCACGGTATTTGCTGGTCAATGGTAACGGACGGCCCGCCGACACTGGCTGACTGACCTTCAGTGTGAACTGTGAGCTGGGTCACGGCAGTCACGAGACTAACTCGGTACTGTGGCCATCGGCGTTCATAGAGCTGGGTCTTGGTCAGGACATGACTGGCCAGTGACACGCAGTCATTCCAAGATGCGGTGGAAGGTATAGAAATGATACCTGTGATGAGTCGTACGCTCGGATCTTAGCCAATAGCAGCACTGGTTTGTAGGGCACTCGGCGATAGGACCGAGGTCGGGTAAACCCCAGCCGGCGGCTGTCGCCCGGTGAACCGTCTGCCGACCTGGCGGTGCTCGTCGAGACTGCGTGCTCTCCTAGCCGGCGGTCCGTGAAGGCAGGCCGACACCGAACGCGGCATGGTCGCGTGCAGAGAGCGTGCGGCGAAAGCGGGCGGGCGGTACGAGCGTCCGCCGGTGCACGGAGGCTGATTTGAGCCATGTCCGCGCTTCTCTGAGTGTGCGGCGCTTCTTGTGCCCGTCCGAGACGAGGAAAAACCCGCGGTGGCTTCAAGGTCCGGCAGAGGAGAATGCGATATGCGATGTTATTGGTGATGGCTGATGCGCTGATGCATTCATGATTGGCAATGATTTCACTTCACGTAAATGTGTTTGGCATAGGTCCCATTGACCCAGCTACCCGGCGGCTCGTCTTTGAATTGTTTTGCCCCGCTAGTAGGTACCTACCAACTCGGTGATTTATGGATCTAATCTGATCTGATATTTGTTTTCATCAGGCTTCCATCCTTTTACCGCACTCTTTGGATCTCAAGCCAAATGCATCATGCTGAAAATCATTAAAATTCGATCGAAATGGTGTTTAATAGATATCTTTATCTGGATATTCCCATGCGGTGGAAAGCTTACTCCGCTTTTTGCTGTTTTTCAATATTCGAGTACTTTCGCACGATTTTGTGCAGCGCTCCATAATGAGAGCAACGATGTTGGTATAGTATCATTCTCAGCTGCCGCGATACAAAGTTTCAGCTTTTGGGAAACCGCATTTTCTTTGGGGAATGGGGAATGACGCCGGTCGATAGCATATCGTACTAGACGAGGCACGATGCGGCCCATTTCCTTTGTAGAACCGTCCCCAATGTTTTGGGGGCCTTGCGGGGCCTTGGAGCTCTCCTGAGTTTGTTTTGTGGCCGAGAAAGTGTGTCAGCACGTGCTGAAGAAAAGCGGCTATCTCGGCCTGACAGTTTCACGGAAGAACACGGCAACCGTAAATAACCGGCCGAATGCTCTGTCCCGACGGACACGCCGGGTGTCGCGTGTTTTGGCCCGCCGAGCTCCTTTGTTTTGTTGTCATCTCCCAAGGCGACTGGAGTTACGTTAGTTTTTCCGTTTCCTATCGGCACTACCGACCGAGAGTGTCCTCCTGAGTTGAATTGTAAAGGCTGCACAGGGATTCATTGGGCGTCGACACGCAGTAAGATCAAACTTACTCTTTCTGTATTTCTGAATAGGTGTTACAGTTTCGTGCAATACGGATCTGCTTTCAATCCACCCTTTTATCTCCATTTCACTTCTGGTGGCCATCTACGGTCTGACAAACAAGCGCTGGCCAACTGTCGAGAGTGCACATCCGGCACCCACCCACTGAACAAACCGTCGTCAGATCTCCCGCAGCTCACGTGCCCGAAGCAGAGCGTCAGCTGGAGGGCGGCTTTGAGAGACCGGCGGCGCCAGACCGGCGCTGCTGACGTGGGCACACCATGTCGCCATAGATGGGCAATGGTGCGTCGAGTCTGGAGACGTGCTGGTCCTTTTCTGGTGCCTCACTTAGTCGGTGTCTGAGGAAACAATTAGTTTGGTGTGGCCTTACAGTTAGGGGATATTGCAATGTGTAAAGAATGGTGGGGACATCTTTATTCTGTGCTTTGTTTGCATTGGTCTTGGCCTTGGGTATAAATGCAAAGCGTAGGAAACAGTAGCTGAGGTTACAATGCAAGCACACGCCTGAGTGATTCGTGTTTGTAACTTAATCATTCGGTAGGTACATACCTTAAACCACTGTGACCACATTTAGTCATTGGCCCGGGGTCCGGCTTCGGTACACCGGTCTTTTGCACAGGTGCCCCAGCTGGTGCCCCAGCTGGTGCCTCCTATCTGTGTCGGCTGGGTCCCTGGTAATCCCTCTGACCCTCTGAGGCGGACGACGCGGGGTCACGTAGTCGACTCTGACCGAGCGGGAGCCGATACGGCGGCGGTCAGAGCTAAGGAAATGCCGCGGCAAGAAGCGCCGACGGGTATTAGGGTCGGCACTCTACAGCAGTGACCGGGCAGCATATAAGCCTGTATTAGTATGCTATTTGTGTTTGGTGGACCCCGGACATTTGTGAGACTCTGGAATACTGGCAGTGGCTGTTTTATATCGACTCACCGCGAATGTGATGAGTCACCGCAGTTCCGTTTCAGTGATTTCATAATAGCTGTTGCTGGTATTGTGGAGCGGAGTCCAAGGATGGTCCACTCCGTCTCTCTAGGCCACCGAATTGCGTTAAGTGATGACGTTATACCGGCTACTGTTGTGATAAGTGGTGACGTCACCGATGACGTTATGTGGGATCGTCGCAGACTGAGGGAGGGCCACAGTTTACGAATAGGCTCCGTTGAACTATTCACTCCACTAATATTGAACTTCCCGTGCGTGCTTTCCGCTCTTGTGCTGATTGTCATCGTGACATGCATTTTCCACTCGGCGTGGTTATATAACGGCGCTGCTCCCATATTTATTTTTCATTATAACCAAATTCTCCACGTTCGGGGGTTATTGCCGTTTTACGACATTCATGGAGCTGACTTTAAAATATTGACCTGGAACGTCTCTTATCATCAGAGTGGCGGGAGCTGGTCACAAATACCTGCCAAATCACGATTGCAGTTTGCAACTGTCATTGCGAAACAAAAACACTAACTGGTGTCAACACTGAACTCACAACTCACATCCTCGACATGGAAACGGTGCATCCTACCGATGATTGTACCCAGTAGCGGCGGAACACCTTCAATCAAGGGGGGGGGCACTGCCGACTTTTGGTCCCATTCTTTCCATGCAACGCCCATAGGGCTGATGTTAAAATGCCAAAATCAAAGGGTGGCACGGTGCCCCGGTGCCCTCCCCGTTCCACCGCCTATGATTGTACCGACGTATGGAGGTAGATAAAGCCATAGAAACTGAGCTTGCTCTTTCGTAGATGCATGTTTTGTATAAGAGCGGACCCGGGAGAGGATGCAGCGTGGTCCCGTGGGGACGTGACTGGCAAAGTTTGCCACAGTCTCCAGATCTCACGTGCTGGAAGGCGTACCCAACGTGACGCGTAACACGGGGTATCCGGGTTTCACGGAGTTGCGAATTGTTTGGCTCGTATCAATGTGTGTCTGGGTGCGTTGTGGATGCCGGGATTGTCCTGGCCTTCTGCGGAATCTTGTTATTACCTGGAGAGCTTGTGTAATTAGAGATAAGAGCCGGCAGCTAACCTTTGCCGTCAGGTCTGTTGTACTGGTATTTATGTGGTATTGGTAATTGTGCAGGTGTAAGCTGAGCTTTAGTTAGCCTGGTATTTATTTTGTTTGTAGACCCCGACTTATTTTATGTAAATGCTGAATAGGTCGGGTGTTATCAATTATCATTGAACACCGTTTCATCCCAAATATCGACTAGAGATAACGTTTCACCCTTGTCTTCGAGTGAACCCGAACGTAGCACGCGCTTTTTGTAAGCGTTAGGTGGTGCACTCGTCTGTGCGATATGTTTCCCCAATGTGTGGCATGGTGTGACACATGCTGACTGCAGCCGGCATTGAGAGCGAGAGCCCTTCCGTATGGTAATACCGGCGACCCTATCGGAGCGTGTTGTGGTGAGAGTGCAATGCTAATGCACAGCCGGTCGACCGCAGCTGCTTCCTGTGCCGTCTGACTAGTGTGCATATCCTTAACAACATCTGCACCGTATCCCGTTCAAGTGAGAGACGAGTGTCGAGAGTCTGTCCGGTGTCTGTCCCGTCTGCCTACTGTGCATATCATCAACGACATCTGTACCGTGTGCCGTTCACAGAAGAGCCCCATCGACATTTTCCCTCTGTCCCTTCACAGGATACAGGGAGGGACTTCGCATACATCTGACCTGCCTCACCGACATCTTGTCTGTTCCTTTCACAGAGAGACTCATCGACATATGCCCATGACCCCTTACAGGAGACACTCGCTCACATCAGTTCCTGACTCTTATCCCTAGAACGCCTAGGGGGGGGGGGTTGTATCAACCCCCCCCCCCTGAGGTTTTTTTCGAAGTGCACGCTAAACGGCTTGTCGTAGCGGGCTGAAATTTTCAATACCCTCTGGGGCAACCTTTGCGCATCTTTTGCCGAAAAAAATTGATCGGGTCATGTCAGGTCACGGAGTTATGACGTCATAAGAGGTACAGCCTCCGGCCGACAGTTACCAAACGTGTGCGCCGAATCCCTAGGTTTTCTGCCGGTGATACCCACATTGTTTGATGGATCATGATGAAACTTCCCATGCATGTTGGGGCAAGCATTGGCTATCGTGTGGTGCAAGAAAATTGACCGGGTCAGGTCAGGTCACGGAGTTATGACGTCATAAGAGGTACAGCCTCCGGCCGGATTTTCACGAAGTGTGTACCGAGTCCCGAGGTTTTCTGCTGATGCTATCCACATTGCAGTGGATATCCACATATCTTTTCTGAGTCGTTACCTACAGTATTTATAGCGGAGCAGTGGTCAACAGCCGACGAATCGGGACAAACACCGGAGGGTGATGTGACACCATATCACTCATCAGCAATAGGCCTCTTACTTTTATAGGGTAAATACACCAAAAACACCATATATGATGCAGAATTGAGTGGGGAATACGTTGTTGAAGGTTTGAAGTTAATATCTCTCACCGTTTTGCCGCTATCGTTGCGCAAAGTTGAAAAAGTTTGATTTTTTCGGAAAATTTGACCTTTGACCGGTCATAAGTAGGTCAAATGTTGACCTAGGACAAAAAAATATACCACCAATCGCGAGATCTCGTTGAGAGCAATCCGTTGGTTTTTTCCGCTAAGCTCTACGACCTTCCGTTTCGAAACGCCAGGGGGGTCGTAACCCCCCCCCCCCCCCCCTGGTCGTTCGTGTTATGAGAAATGGCCTGGTCGTGCGAGGGTTATAAAAGGAACCTCATCGACATCCGCCCCTTTGCAAGGACAGAGACAGGGAGAACCCAATATCTTACCCTGTCGGCCCCCTTTACAGGGAGATCGTCACCGACATCCGCCCCTCTCTCTCCTTCACAGGGAGAGCCGGCGACGGGTGAACCTGAGCTGGTCGGAGGACGGCGCGCGGCTCACCTACTCCGAGCACCTGTCGTATGCGTTCGACCCGGAAACATCGGCGCCCGGCGTGGATGAGGACACCAGCATCGTCACAGTCAACGCTCCAATGCTGGTCAGTGGCTTACCAACGCTACTCTGCTACGATACCATAGTAAAGGTAGTTCGGGAGGGGTGTGGGGTGGGGCAGACCCCAGACATGACTGGTCTGCCAGTCATGTCTGGGGTGTCGGTCTGCCAGTCATGTGAGTTGTTACCTCTTTGTGTTGGAGTGGGGAGGGGACCGGTGGGGAAGGGTGTTGAACTGTTGACACTGTGGTTGTGCGATTACAGTGGCTGGGTTCTGAGGTGGAAGCGTATTGCCACCTGAGTTTTGCAGCATCGTTCGTAAATGCGTTACGAACAAAGGAATGCGCTATTTCGACTGACACTGACACACCCCTGACACAGACTGACAAACTCTGACTCGCAGGCAGCACTGACACAGGCGGACAGAACTTGACTCACTGACACAGCACCGACGTCCGACACAGTCTGACTCTACCATATCTCTCTGACGTGTTGAAACATCCCTGTGAGACGCCTCGACTGTAATCCGACATTGACAACGGCTATTGACGGATGGTCTCGGCCCCGGCCACGACCTCTGGGCTGTTGTGGTAGGTAAGCCGCTTTGTCCGCGCCTGACAGGCATGCGTGTTTTTGGAAAAGCCGTCAGCGCAAGAAGCTAAATCGGGGATGCCACGAAATGCTGCGGGATCGTTACGACTTATCGCATAAAACCACCAGTGACAATATCAGAAATGTTTCACCAAGTCAGTGCTATTTCGAGGTTCAACGCTGACTGCGGTTTGCCTATCTTATTGACGCTGACACAAGCTCTGATCACATTTCATCTGTTGAAAAGGCCTGGTAATTGACAGTTGTGGACGCCGTCCGGTCACTGGCGGTTCTCGATCAGCGCTGGGGCTGCGACTTATTTATGCTAGCTGCAATATACAGTAGCCATTGTAAACGTTCCCAGACTTATTTATTTTGGTGAGCGTCTTCTGTTTGTATTAAAGCAACGAAGACACAAAAGGAAATACGCCGTTGCAAGATGCATCGAACTGTGATGACTTGCATATAGCCGAGACTTGTGCTTATGATGGGAGCCAATTCAGTTCAACGTCATCACCGGCTGATTCTAGTCACGATGGGAAATAGTTTCAGTGTAACGTCACCGGCTGATTTTAGATAGGCGCTGAGGTCTTTTGTCTCCAGAGGTGATATTCCTGATCAAAGCCACGGCGCACGAGATAAGACAGGTGCGACACCGTACCGAACCGCGCGCTACCCTTCCTCAGCCCCCGGCGCCGCCGCACCTATTCCGGAGCACACAGGTGGCCGCGCTATCTGATGGCTAGTCATGCGTTGTCGGCTTCATCGGATGGTTAGCCACGGGTGTGGGTCCAAATGCGCGTGCCCTATCGCCGTGCCGGGGCGCCGCCGGCTGTGCGGCTGGCCGGAGATTCCTGATTGGTCCCGGCTGGGTGTGGGCTTGTTACAATTGTGATTAGCCAGTATGCGCTTTTTGGGTATGTTGTTGTCTATGACGAAGGCAAGATGGGGCCTAGTTTGTGCTTCACACCATATTTTTACATAGTTTTGGCGGTAGTTTGTCATACGTTCATTTCATTTCTTGTAGAGTGCCAATATTTTAATAGTTACTTTCCAATTTAATATTCCTGTGACGTTAAACACGAGATGTAGCGTGCTGTCTTGAAGCTCCTCCCAAAATGCGTCTCCGCTTGGTGATTGAGGAAGGCTTTGCGGCTCTGCGGCTTTGCAATGATTGTTGTTCTGAGTAACTGGCAAATCATATCCTGTTTTCGCGCTCTGGCGTAATGGTGGGTCTGTGGCACACTGGATGCGGTAATTGCGAAACTTTTACTGACGTATTGTGTGCCGCTTAAAAGTAGCGTATAGTCCGCCCAGGAGCTCCCTGTCTTCAGTTTTCTTGCGGAGTAGCGCCGTCGGCTGCTTGCTTTGCGCCAGTTCTGCACAGCATCGCCTAATTGCATGCACCGGCTATAAAATATGCTGCTACACAGAGTCCACGCGGTAACCGGACTGTGGTTGCTACGCGTTAGTACCTCGGCCCCGTTACACTCCAGTACACCGGTCTCTACTCAACTGCTTGTCGTGTCCCGAACGAACAGTAACAGATGACATCATCTGTCTCTCCGCTGCGACCTGAAGAATGACAGATTGATCTCTAACTATATCTAAATATTTATTGATATTATTCTCTGCGTGCGTTTTACGAAGCAAATGCTGACTTGCCATATTTTCCCATTTACTTTGAGCTCTCTTCAGTCTATGCTCTATGGTTTTACCCTCCCCGCCCATCTGCCCGAGTAGTAAAGTAATCTTGATCTGCCCTGTCTCGCGGTTTCGGCTCTCGTTCCCCATGTCCCCGCTAACCCTCCCCATCCCCCCCACCCCCACCCCGTGTCACAGATGCTGCAGGAGCTGGTGGCCTCGCTGCCGCTCTCGATGATTCTCAGTGGACTCGTCTCGGCCACCATGGGGCCGCAGCTGCGCCGTCCGTTCGTCTCCGTCCCCGTACGACAGCTGCTGTTCGACGGGTCGCCGGTGCCGGCGCTGAAGAGCCTGCTCAGGCTGCCCGGCACCGGAGCCATCCTGGATGGTCTGTGTGGCAGAGGACTGTGCGGCAGTCCACGCGACCTGGAGAGACTGAAGAACGGCCGCTTTCCGTCCATGATGGTGAGTGTAAGGGATGTGACCGGCGGGCTTCCTCATTAGAGTGATGGGAAAATTTGTGTCGGTATGTCGATTGTCGCTATCCGCCAGAGGTTATTTTGTTGTTGGCTGGATTGGTTGACGTTATGTCTGTGATGTAAATGCTCCAGGATAGCTAAAACCAGGGATTTGTGTTGAACGATAACCGGAATGATCAGACCGACTTGTTTGCTGAGTCATGCGGCTAGTTACTCTTGAAGCTCGCTGAGGTTTACTGGCGGTGACATGCTCCGCTCGATTGCGAGACCGGAACGAATAGCCGGCGCTCAGTCTCGGGTGGTCCGTCTGAGACCTGGTTTGTCCGCTCTGCTGATTCTGGCTATCGATCAGTGACACCTTAGCTCGAAACAACCGCGGTATGCTGCTCACTGAAACACACGTGGCCATTTGACCGTTGTTCCGATGGGGTGGTTGATCCAGTTAAAGATCATTCCACCGGACGTATGTTGCAATGCTGAGGGCGTTGACCTGTCGTAGTGGAGCTGGTTTCTCGGGACCTTGAGTGCGGCTCAGATGTCTCGTATAGGTACCGGTTCTTCGATATGCTTCCGGCGCAGCTGCGGGCTTCAATAGCGCGCATATCGAGAGATCTAACACATATGCTAGTGTGAGAGGACTAGACCGCCGTCATAATGCATTAGCACCTAAAAGGCCGATTGTTGCACTAAACATGCGTATTGCGTACGATTATCTTGATCATTTTGTATTTTTGTTCCCAGTATAACAACTCTCTGGACGGCCCATATACGATCGATACGGGTAAAAATGATATCGACCGTTTCACGCGCGTGGAGTCGTACAAGGGCAAGTCATCGCTTGATTACTGGGGCTCGTCCTACTGCAATATGCTGAACGGCACAGATGGAATCACCTATCCCCCGCACATGGAGAGAAAGGACCGCATATTCATATTCAACAAGGACCTATGCAGGTGCGTACTACTTATGACGCGACTGGTGTCTGTGTGGTGGAATGTGATATTTCCTGTCCCTATGTTTTTTTTTTATTTCACTTATTTATTATTTAGCGCTGGAGAAGTTCTGAGTTTGTTCTCGTCCACTTGAAATGGTCTGTTCGGAGTTTGATTTTTTTTTTTTGTAGCTTAGCGATTATTTGCGGTGCGGTTTTACTTTTTAACTGTCTGTCCTCGGCTGTCTCATGCAGTTGTATCGAGCGTTTGTGTCGAACCAAACCAACAGGATGTGCTACCTTCATGGCCATATGCCACGTATGCAGACCTGTCGTAATTAATGTCTCGTTTATCGTTTGTTCTGTAAGTGGGCCAAGGAAACTGCTACCTCTCTACAGCCCCATCTCTTCTCAGACTTCCAACTGCTGCAAATCCGCATAACCTTGCTTGCAGCATCGTTTAGATGAGTGTTCGTGATTTATGGCAGGTTTCAGCGAACGCCATAGGTCAGGGACAAATCATGAAAATGCTGCTGTTCCCCTGCTACTCGCGGGATACTATCACATATAGTTTTCGAGTTTCGATATTTTCTTGGTCGGTGTAGAGAAGCGCACGAGGCATCTCTCGGTGGTTATAAAAGCATAATAACTACTTACTCCCCGACTTCACAGATCCATCTACCTCGACTACGAGCGCGACGTCGAGTACTTCGGCATCTCGACGCGTCGCTACGTGCCGGCGCGCGCTGTTCTGGAGGACCCGGCCGTCAACCCTGACAACAAGTGCTTCTGCGCCCCGGAGGACCACTGCCTGCGTGCCGGAGCGCTCAGCCTCAGCCCCTGCCAGTTCGATGAGCGGCGCGGCCGGCGGCGCCGCTGGCATTAGGAGGGAGAGTGGCGGAAGATGGCGGAGGGAATGGTACGCTCACCGTCTGGGGGTGATTTGGTGTGGTTGTTGGTGTGTAACGTCGCGATTTATGGTACTGTCACGGGGCTTAGTCATGGGACTGGTTCGGTACTTATGCCTCTCTCTCTCTCTCTCTCTCTCTCTCTCTCTCTCTCTCTCTCTCTCTCTCTCTCTCTCTCTCTCTCTCTCTCTCTCTCTCTCTCTCTCTCTCGCTCTCGCTCTCGCTCTCGCTCTCGCTCTCGCTCTCGCTCTCGCTCTCGCTCTCGCTCTCGCTCTCTCTCTCTCTCTCCTCTCTCTTTCCCTCCCTCCCTTTCCTCTACCCTCTGATGACGCCGTATTTTCTCCGCAGGAGCACCAATTGTCGCTTCTACGCCTCACTTCTACAACGGAGATCCATCCTATCTAGAAGCCGTGGACGGCCTCGCCCCGGACAAACGCTACCACGAGACGTTTATCGACATTGAGCCAGTGAGTGGGCCTCCCTCTCCCCCTCTCCCCTCCCCGCCGGGGGAGTCGTGACGGGTAGTTTCCAGTCATGTGGGCCAACACGGGTTCTGTCTTGTTGTCACTCTCTTCGCACACAGAGCCGCGCTGTTAGCGGTGTGTCACGTAGGAGGCTAATTTAACACTCGGCTTCATTCAGCTGCCGTCGGACAGCTGCGACGAACCGAAGATAACGCCGCGATGATGTAACACTGGACATAGCAAACTCAGGGAACTAGTCCCTTTCGGTAGTAATTGCGTCATTTATCCTGGGGATCGTTAAAACTTTAGGCATTTCGACCCGGCTGGCGTTACCGATTTGGGCTATATTTCGTGTGACAACGCTGGACGAAATTCCATTAAGATTGTACGCATCGCTCGAATAATCTGAATTGATCTCGGTTTAATAATACGTGATTATGGAAGACAAAAGTGAACTTGGCCCTTTGAAATGAGCCGGCTTAGTGCAGGTTAATAGCGCTACTCTGTCTCCCTGCCATGCTGGTATTACGAATTTTAGTTATGGAGGTCTGAATGCGAATAAATTCATCGTATCTGCTGAACTGCTAGTTACTTGCAACTTTTGTCCGGTCACGTATCACGTGGAATGAATAACCATCATACGTTAAACCAACTCTTGTGGTTATTTTCCAACGGGGAGGAGTGTGGACCTGCGCGCAGGGGGCAGCCTTAGGATAAGGCGGATGGAAAGGCACACATACATTCGCACGCCTGCATCAACAACTTGATCACCCAGGGCTGTCCAATCGGGTGATGAGCACACCACCTATTCACCGTTGCTCTCCCTTGTTGCCTGTCTCACGGTGGCAGTAGGTAACCCTACCTCACTGATGAGAGTGCCTGCCCCGCGGCATTGGCGGGCGGGGGGCGCCCCTCCGGTGCTGCCCGGCACACCTGCGGGCGTGCAATGGCTCTGTTTACCTTCCTAGCCGCTTCCGTACTCGCTCCTTATCCCAACCACGCTGCCGCGCCGCAGCTGCTTCGCTGCCGTCCGTGCTATTCCGTGCCGCTTCCGTGTCATCCTTATTCCTTATAATATTTATGTACATCTGTGCACTGTCTGTGTGTGTTCGCTGCCATCCGTGTCGTCCGTGCTTTTCCGTGCCGCTCCTGATCGGCCTGTGCCGCGGTATTTTATTCAGACTCACGTGCTGTGCCCGTCCGCCCGACCGTCCGACCGCCGCGCCGCACCGTTTGCGGTATCGAGCGGCGCCGGCGGTACGGGGGTGCCACGGGCGCTGGACTGGAAGGTTGACTGAGGCCAGTGCCTTTCCCAGAACTACGCACCTCCCGGCAAGAATGTTATGTTGTCGTGGCGCAGCTGATAGTCGTTAAAGCCACTCAGTAAACTGGCTCTGGGAACAATGATGCTGTTGCTGAAGCATGCAGGGTAATAGGGTTGCAACATTCAGAGGGCTTGTTGCTTAGGCTGCACGTTTGTGAGCTCTACCTTATAATTATGTGCGTTTAAGAATGCGATCCAGGACGCCTTTGCAACGAGAATGAGTGGCAGCGTAAACAGCGAAAAGAAGTAGTTGTGTTCCTATCTCTTGCTAGTAGCACAGGAAGACCCGGTCTTACGTAATGAAGCTCCAATTATTCAGTCGTCATTTCGGAAGCGGATGCGCCGTAAAACGTTAGTGCTACGAACTGAATACCAATGCTGCTTTCCGGTAAACGTTTTCATAGTCGAATAACATAGGTGTAGTGATGGTAGTCACGCTACTTCATTAGATATGAATTATATAACGAAGGGGTACGAATAACAACCGTTACGCAACCACAACTCTCCACGGAATTAAGGCCTCCAATACATGTTCAATCAATAATAGCCGTTTTCACGACGGCCATCTGGTACACATTTGGTGCAGATCTGGTACAGATTAGGTGCAGATTTGGTCAAATCAGGTTCAGTGTGTCTCTTAGCAGCTATCAGCTAGGGTTGCACTAATTGCCTATATGCCTGCTTTATCTCTATTTGCTGTAAAAGAAATTAGGTGCAGATTTGGTCAAATCAGGTGCATTCGCCGGATAGCCCGTCGTGAAAACGGCTTATAGCACGCCAATATCCGCATTCTGTAAAGCTTTGGAGAAACGCGAGTTAAAAGCTAAGCCAACTCGCACTTCTCAGTTGTTAATACCGTCCATTTTCGATGCTGATTTGCATTCCGTTCGGCCGTATCTGGCTGATGGGTGTTATTGTGCTGTGGTGAGCCTGGTGAGAGCCGGCAGGATCGCCCGCTGAGTGGCCTTGCTCTGCGACAATTGGCGCGCTGCCGCGGGGTCCGTATCAGTCTGTAACACTGTTGCACGGCCGCACCGTTATAGCCATGGTCACGGCGCCGACTCGGCTAATGCTTCTGTTTTGTCGGCACTAATGGCCTGAGTCGATGGCTCCTTCGGGTATCTGAGTCGGGCTTTAGCGGGAGCCGTGCTCTCTGTGGGACCATTGAGTGTTACACGAAGGCAGAAACTCTGCTCTTGTATGACCTCTAGAATGCGGCAACACCTCTTTATGTCGGTGTAGTGCATATTATGTGATTCCAACAACCCTTGGGATGCCTCTTTCCGATGCTTATGTATGTGGCAGTTGTTAGAGTGGACAATGTTTTTTTTTTTAAATCGGCATTCGATGAGGTCTTAACTCTGTCTGAAAGGACATTTCAAGACCGGTGAGGTTAGTAGTTACGTCATCAAACAGCATTATCTTGTACTTGAATCCATATATTTTCGAATACAAGTCTAAATTTTCATTCAGTACGTCGCTGCATGAGATCGATTGTCCAAGGCTTACAACGTTGATGGGAGACGGATTGAGCGTTAACATCCCTCAAAACAAACCAAGGCGAACTCCTCTGATCCCTGTTTTCCGACAGAACAAACCGAGGTGATCTGAATTGATCCCTGTTTTCTGGCAGAGCAACCCGAGGTGCACTGACCCTGATCCCTGTTTTTATCCGGCAGCTCACCGGACTGGCCCTGAACGGCGGTAAGAAGATTCAGATCAACATTGACCTAGAGCGGTTCGGCTCTCTGGACGGTATGGAGCGGCTGCCGCCCGTGCTCTTCCCGGTCATGTACACCAACGAGGTGAGTTCGAACCGCGGCACCGGCAAGGATTTTTACGTAACAGCGACCGTTTTGAATTGTAGAAGGGATTAGATTGCATCCTTACCGAAGTGCAATAATGTATGTGGGAATATCAACATCCACGATTTGATGAGTTTGATGTAACTCGCGTATAAGGCAAGAAGTTTTAATCGGATCGTTGATTTAGCTATATTTAGCGCATATTGTCCGCAGAGTTTTAATGCGCTGGGTTACGGCTCGTATGCAGGCACACATTTTCTTAGAAAGCAGCTAACGGCTGGTTTCATGGAGGCTGATCTCACGAACAATTCCGAGCCAACGGCCGAGCGGTTACGAACACCGCAAGTAGCTGTGCTTTATGGAGCGCGTCGTCTCGTCGTCCAATTAGGGCCGCGCTCTGACCGGCCTGAGCGCCCGGGGCGCTAATTGGGACAGACGGGTCACAGGTAACCGAGCTGCAGAGTGTCGGCCCGTGACAGAAAGTACAGCAAAGCTGTCTGTCTGGGAACGGCCGCTTCGTCTGGAGAAACGTGCGGCGTTAGTACGGTCTCAGTCCGTGCAGGCTAGTGCTCCCGAATGGAGATCGTTGAGACAGACCACTTTCTTTCTTGACTTTCTGTCAACATAGTCACTGTCATTGCCATCCTAGGGTCTCTACTCTCATCACCAATGTACCCCGTCAACATCATCATCACCATTGTCATCACCAGTTTTTCCATCATCACAAACCTCCGTCGTCACCACCGTAACCACCCGCTAGAGTCAACAGAGCCCGTACGGGAGAAACCCGGCTCGGTAGTTGACCATACAAACAGCCATCGGCTCCGGCAGGCGTGTCCTCGGCCAGTTCGAACCGCTGTCCGACCCGGTGGATGAGCTGGGAAGCAGCAGAGCGCGGTCTTCGAGCCAGATTACGGGCTCGTGGCCGCTCGGGTCTCGGCAAAAAGTGGACACGGGTGTGCTGAGATGCGTGGCGGCTCGGAAAGTCTACCGTGAGACCCGTGACGCGGTGGAAGGTTTTTGTAGCGGTGTTTTGTGCGGCTTGGTCAGCCGGCGGAGCACATGACTGGGTTTATGGATGCGATGAGCGGTCTTCTGCTATGGTGGTGTGGTTGAGTATTTACAAATACATTAGAACAATGTTTCTACCTATACTTTCGTAAGAAAAAAGTAGTGAAGCATTGAAAATTTGAAATATCATTGAAACGTCCTTTCGATCTCGTCATGCCGGGCTATTTTGGGCGCTTGGGATTTCTGAAACTGAAGTTCGTACTGGACTGCTATTTTATATTATTTATTTGTTCTCGGACCACGCAGTCCTGTTTTCGGAAGTATCACTACAGCCAGCGGAAGTAACAGGTCACAGGACCCGTTTGGAAAGTTGAATGGCCTCACTCGCGTGGCTTCTGAGTTCGGATTACCTACATGATTGCTGGCCACGAGCGGATTTCATCAGAGGTGAATCCCTGAGACCAACAACAATAATAACAGGATTTGGAGCGATTAGTGGTGTTAACGTTCATCGGGGTAAATACATTCCTGGGAAAAGTAGTTGGAAGAGCGGTAGTCGCTGTATCGTTGTGTCATACTTGTGCATGGGTGCGTACGCTCCGCTATTCGGGTGGATTTCGGCGGCAGCGTTTCAGCATTTCCGCCGCCGGTGGCCGGCCGGACCAGTTCCGATCCCTGGGTGGTCCGATAAGGACCGGCCCCGCTGTCTAAGCCACCCCGATACCGAATATCCGTCCATGTGACGAGTCATCGGATCAGCTGTCAACCGGACTTTGTGTGGCCGATCAGGGATCGCGGGCATGATTTACTTGTTGCATCAGGTGAAATTGTGGGCTGTGGCGGTGGACTGTGGGACATACGTACAGATTGAAGAGGCTCGGCTGCAGGAGATTCGCTGTTATTCCGTGAACTTTGCGATTGATGTGATGTGTCACATCGACCCGTTACATAAAACTTTGTTGATCTGTAGAGTTGCGGGGCTTATCAAAACTCAGTCGCAGTGACAATTGATCACCAATATTGGTCGGTCAGACACCACTACCAGTCACGAAATCCTCCTCGCTCTTCGTCTGACTTTGTCTTCATTGCATTGTCCTAGGAAAATATACAATGATTTCGTCACTAGCGTCGGTTACCGCCCATCTGTATCAGCATGCGCCTTACATTGTCTCTGAGCGCCCCGTCCCATGTCCACAGACAGCGGTAGTGAACTCTGCACTGGCGGCCGAGTTCCGAGACCGTCTGCAGCGTCCGCTGAGTCTGGTGGCCGCCGCCCGCTGGCTGCTGGTGGCCCTCGGATCGGCCCTGCTGCTGCTGGCTGGACTCATGTATCTGCGTCGCCACAGCCACCCCACGGTAAGTTACTAGCGCTACAGCCATGGGTCTACCCACTTACTACAGACGGCACGATCACTGGGTCACCGTACTGTGTCACGGCGCAAGCGTAGACTAATTTTGCGCCGGTAGAGCATGACTCAGGTCGGATCTGGGCGTGTTCCCAGTGAAACGTCGTGAAAGTTGTGTTTGATTGTACCACGGCGGACTACCGCGCCGCTCTACCGCCGTGTTGACATTGCTGACTCATCGACTCCGAAAGACGCGCCGTCACCGGTGACCGCCCGTCCACTCGCTGACCGGCCGTCCCGACCGTCCCCGTTTCAGACCAAGGCCGGACAGTGCCCGCTGCAATGACGGTCGGTCCCGGCTGCGGCGCAAGCTGCACCGGGACCCCAGCTGGGCGCCGGCCACTGCCGGCTCGCCGTGGACGCGGAGGGCAGCGATCAGACCCTGCTGCCGCCGCCGCAGTACCCGACAGACACCGAGCGACGGCCGCTCACACTGCAGGGCGCGGAGGGCCGACAGACTAGGAACGGTGCAGTGACGAACGGGACCGCTGCGGCGGCAGTGAACGGTCGGAGTGGGGAGAGGGTGACGGCGAATCGGTTCTGACGCGAGGCGTGAAGGCGGTGATTGATCTTTGTGGGATGGTGGAGTTCGTGTGATGTGGAGTAGGCAGTAAGCTGTGAGACTGAGGCGACATGGTTGATGCTGATATTTGGGGTGGGTATGGGCCGCAGAGCCAGCTTCTCTCATTACTCGACATCCTCGCTCCTCATTCATCGCTCGTGGCTCTCAGTCACAGAACCAAATACAGCCGGCGTGCCTTGCCGTCGGCGCAGTACTAGTTATCCGAACCCACGGAGTCGCGGCGATGGTAGGGTGTTTCGCAAACCAACACACTGTCAACATCTGGAACCGTCATCATGATCACCATGCTTGCGGCTCATTTTAACATTTATGATCTGTGTGACATCATCGTTGTCATCACTTTGAGATCTGATAATTTTTTTTAGATGATTTATTTCTGTTAAGGAAATCGCACCTTGCAAAAAAATGTTTTTTTTTTCTTCGAAAACAAGCCAAGCTTGAATGCCCGAGCTGTGGCAAAGTCGTTATCCCGACTGACCCATTCTTTCGTCGAAGAGCTATGTGCACCAACCGTAGCATACTCGTAGCTCTATGTGTGAAGGCCGTTTTATCATTTAGCTCCCAAGCTGTAGCCAGTGCGCTATGCTAAATAGCGTTTTCCCGTTAACCCCTTCGCAAGGGGTCGTATTCGCCGCATTCCATTTGTTCGTTTGCAGAGAGCCGTCTCCATCATGTGTGTTTGTTTGTCCTATGTGCAATGGTAGGCAGCAGCTTTGGCTGTGGTCAGTGATCTTAGACCAAGATCGGAGCTTTATACGTGATACTGCAAGTTGCTGAAGGCGATGTTCTCGTTTCTTGTTGAGTTCTTTCGAGCAAATGTGTGATGCTGAATTTTAGAAATAAGGTCATTTATTCGCTTTGAAGGCTGTTGCGTTGGTATGTTTGGGCCGTGCTTGTGGTTAGGCTTTACTAAGAAATATTTATTGCTTGTTCGCCGCCGTTTAGCCTCCGTTAGGGCGGCGCAGACTTTCCATATTCGATGGACGTATGTTGGACTGCCGGAAGTGTCACGAAGTGTTGGAAATATTGTTGTAAATGTGCGACACCAAAGTCGGGACCCTCCCGTCTCGAAGGAAACCGTCCTAAGTGTGTGTTCACTACTGTATTGTTAGTGAAAAGTCCCATAGAAGTAGACACAACCATATGCCTTTCACTATCAAATCAAGGTTAGCGCAAGTAGACGTTTTAGTGTACCCCACTAGCTGATTTCCCTCATAAAGCGGGAGTAGCACATGCTGGTGCCCCTGTGCGGTCAAGTTTTGCAGTTGATTGAGATTCATTTCAGTAGTCTAGCATCATTCAATGGCAGCTCAGACGATTGGAATGGACAGATTGGCCCCGACTGGCAGAGACGGGGCAGAGCGAGTCCTGACTGGCTTAGGGCCCAGCTGAGCGGTACATTAGAAGCAACCACCCGTCTTGAGTATGATACACCGATCACCTGTATCCTCAGTGAACCCGTGCGCTTCACAATCGGAGCTTCCTGCTACATTTTCAACTTCTCTGGCTGACTTACTGGATCCTGGGACCTGTGGATTACGAGGCAGAGCGAGCATACATAAATATCAAATTGCTCTCCTCGCGAGCCCGGATGTGATCCATCCCGGGACGGGTCACCGGAGATCTCCGCTGTCAGTGTTAAGGGTCTTCACGTACCGAGGCGCACGGTGGCAGCCACTTGTACTCATGTATCGCTCTGTATCTGTCGCTCCGCTCCGCGTATGTCCTCTCGCCGACTCGTCGCCTTTTCATGTTGCTCACCGCGATCGCTGGCCTGGCTAATCGCCGTCATCTATACCAACGGGTAATCATCGGTCGGTGTTTCTGCGCGTCATCGTGACGCAGAGTGACATCGTGACGGCATTGTGACGGGACCGTGACGCTGCGAGCCGGTCATGTTTCACCGCGCGACCGATCAAAAGTAGCGATATTTTTCATACTTTGCGTAAACAGCGTACGAGTCGCGATCTTACGCACGTATGCGTTCCTTAGTGGACGTGCCACTAGGCGTCTGCACTTGTATCGATCGGAAGGAGCTCAGCTGTCTCGAACTGAAACTATACTGCGAAATAAATGATGTTGCAAAGAGACCGTATGTGGTGGCATGAGTGGAGCATTGGGCGAGGCTCGCTCACCGCGTGACACACTGACGTTTGACCTCGGTCGAAGGGTGGTTCAATTCCCGAGGAATCCGCGCGTACAGATAAAAAGAAATCGTGAAGTTTAGACGTCGGAGATCTATGCCGAATTATGGGTTCAGAGGCAATTACTACGTGTTTGGTAAGAATGACTGTTACTTTCGAGCCATAGTCGCATACTCACTATTTATCACTTCAGTCTGTTACAATCACGGTTCCGCCAAAGGAATTCAGCCTCGACTCCGAGCTGGATTTTTTTCTCGCGTCGCTCACGTTGGTTGTTTTTGGCTGATTGCGCGATAAGTTATCAGCGGTCTGCGTAGTTTGCGGCCAGTACAAATATTTGTAAATTCTATCGCGATCGCGAACAGGTGCATACTGCATAACCTTGATCAACGGGGAATCACAGGGATTTAGAATGAAGCTTTCACGAAGAATCAGTTTCAGAGTCAAAAGGAGGGCTTTTCGCGCAGCTGACAGGTAGAAGCCGGCTGTGAAGAGGTCTGGGGTGAGAGGAGAACCTTTCTGAAATAAAAAGTTGGGGAATCGCTTCTCTAATTGCTCACCTACATTTTTACACACGTCACACACGTTTGCGTCGAAACGATTCCAAACTGCGCTTCGACGTCCGTCATGGCATGTATTTCTCCCACCCATTGGCATAATAGAAAACATCGACACGCCCCACACCCTCCCCGCATCAGCCCATATTACTGACTTTCCGCCGCTTGAAGCCCACTTGCTTATCCTGCATTATTTTCCGCTTCTTGGCGGCTCGTTTCTTGATGTGTTTCTGCATCTTCATGCGCGCCGTCTTGACCGGATTAGTGACCAGCTGAAAGCAGAGCGGGCGGGTCAGACGGGATGATCGCAGCGGTGTCCAGTCGGGTCACTGACCAGCAGTCATCGGGCGAGATAAGTCATGTCGAGACAAATCATGTCGATGGGCTGAGTAGTGGGGGGACTTAGAGCTACGGCCAACAGCATGCTTTCTAGAAAGTTTGATCTAACAAGATCTTTTACGGGGATGGAAAATACGAATTGTAAAAAGTATGTCATCCCGGGCACCTTGTCTCCGCGCATTATTACAATACGACAGCTGCGCTGGCAGCGATCCGGCTGCAGGCATTACATAAGTCAGGAATGTAGTCGACATCGATTCCGGTTTAACGAGCCAAACCATACATTTTGTACGTCTCGAGGGACAGGGGACTGCTGTAGGTAAGCAAAGGCTGCGATACAATTCCTAGAAGGCACACTGAATGCCTGAATAATTGAAACGATGGGAAAGGTGGGGATTGATAACACGTGAGTCAGCACATTCACATCCTCACAATGCACACAACGCACCAACCTCCTTCCTGGCGTCGACTTATTAAAATGTATACGTTCGAACACGAACCACAATATTTCCACAAAATGACACATCACTTCACAACATTCATTAGTAACGAGGGCGCAGCTAGAACCCACCGCTTTGATAAACTCGTACCGTGATATAAATTTCCAAGGAATTCCAGCACAGAAACAAAACACTACTGGTCGATGGCGCCCTCTACGTCCCCTCCCCCCGCCGGGGCAATTTCATCGGACCCCCTGTGTTGCCCACCAGCCCCAGCAGTGGTATGCAGACACCCAGTGATATGCAACTGGCGATATTCCGCCAAATAACTCTGACGTGACGCCTAGCCATGGTATGACAACACGCGGCAAATTTCCGTCAATTCCGGTCTGTGTAATGCCGCTCTTCATGAACACCCGCCCTCTCATAGTCATGCTGATCGACTGAATCAAGGGGACAGGACAGGGATAACCGACTGTCATGTCCTGATCACATCATTCCGCATTCGACCTCCCAGTTCTCCGAGGTATGTCTCCCTCGTCTCACCTGTTGCTTGCGCTGAATGCGTCGCTCGGCCTTCCTCTGGCTGAGCACCAGCTGGGCGCGGGTGTACGCAGCGGTAAACGTCTCCACTCCAACTGAGCGCTTCATCAGGTCGGTGACCTGTTCAGGGGCGATGGAAGGAGCGCAGAGGTCAGATTGACACTCCATCCTGTGACGTGTCGTCGGTAGACACAAGTAGGGTGGTATAGCAATTTGTTCATTTACACAAGCCTCTGTCATATTTCAGGCCACGAGTCACGACGAGAGATCAGCCAAAGACCATTTCAACAGTGTACCACTTCAACAGGCTTATGGTTCCTTTTGTTAGCTTCGCTTAGCCTATCAAAGACATGGGGGTCAAAGGAAGATTACGATGAAGCGCATTGAAGTCACATGTGCATATTATGATAGCGGAGACTGAAAGGCATTTCGCCGAAGTCGGATTCTGGGAAAGACAAGATACACCACAGTATCACCAGCATAATCCTGCACAGTGCACAGGTCATAGGCCCTGGGGAGGTCGGGCCAGTGATTTTGAAAGACGATGATTTGCTGCTAATACTACACGACGGAGGAGGAAGTAGGTGATAATAAGCCACGCTGATCGCATCAGCACTCAGCAATGCGCACTAAGCTGATGATTTCCGTTACGAAAACAAAAAGATCATATGCTTATTTGTCAACATGGCACTCTTTTCACCAGCATTCCGTAATACATGTTACAGACCGACGGACTGGGATTTAAATGTGAGATAAACAGACATGACAATACAAAGAAATGTCAGCAAAAACTTCATGACGAAATCCAGCAAGTGTTGACGTTTGTTCATTTAAGCGCACCTCTGTGGCGAGCGTTTTGAGCTCGAGCGGCGCCGAGGGGTCGGTGATCTCCCTGACCAGCGGCGGCAGCAGCAGGTGCAGGAATGGTGCCAGCTGGGAGTCCAGCGACATCGCAACCGCCGCCATCCACTTGAACACGCTGCAGCGCTGCGGGAGGAGACGGGAGAAGGTTACAAGGGCGGCGACAGATGCAACACGCTACAACACTGCGGGAGGAGGGAGAGGGTTAGAGAGTGTGGACGGGTGGCGATAGATCAGAAGCAGGGCAGAAAAGATACTAGGACCGGCTAAAAACAGGGGACGGTACTGTTCAGACATCAATGGCTTAGATGGCGGGGTGTCATACAGGACAGTAGAAACTTCCTCGCTAATCGCCCTGTATGCTGGCTCACAGTCACACTGAACAGACAACCGTACTCAACGCAATGGCCCATACAGTGGATACAGCGGCCAAGTGATGCAGTAATGCGACAAAATGAAAGACAGCCGATACATTAACATGGTAAGTCTTTTTACCACCAGTGTGATACAAGCCGGCAGCATAGGGCGTCCGGCAGATTACGTTCTGCGCTATACGTTCTCGCTCCCTCGCCAAACTCACCCTGAGAGTAATCCGGGGCGACTTCACCACCTCAGCATTCACTTCCCTCCTCAGCCGCCGCGTCAGCCACCGCAGACTCAGCGTCGACTCTGACTCGGTCACACTCGACTCAGACTCTGTCCTCTTACGGCCGGATCGTGACTCAGAGTCACTCCGCTTCCTCCCTAAACTCGACTCCGAGTCGGTTCGCTTTCTCCCCGATTTCGACTCCGAGTCTCTCCGTTTGCGACCTGTACTTGACTCCGAGTCAGTTCGTTTCCGGCCGACACTGGACTCTGAGTCGGTGCGTTTCCGCGGAGAGCCCGACTCGGTTCGTTTTCGTCCGGACGCGGCGCTGTCAGAGTCCCGTCGAGGTCGTTTGACTCCCGCGGGGGAGGGCTCCGGATGGTCGGAGCCCGGGTCCAGGGCACCGGCGCAGATCAGGACCTTGGCGATCCAGACCAGGTTCTTGACGCACTGAAACAGACGATAGAGATGTCATAGGTCGTAAGTTAATGCGTTGGAACTATCAGTTGATGTTTGGTTTCATATCTGTTTGTATATGTACTTAGATGCTAGACAACAACACAATACCCAGCAATTTTCACAAAAGCAACAACATTTAACAGATGGCCACCAAAACGCCGGCAGCTCCACGACGCTTCCACGAAGCGGAATACCAGCTGATGTTAACCTAAGCAACACAACAGTTTGGCTCAGTGTACTGCATTATGTGCCAAACAGTAAACACTTAAGCACTTTGCACGAAAAGCCATAACAACTTTTCATAATGAATCATAAACAATGCATTACTTCACCCTAATCAGGGAAGCGATAGAATGTCAGCGTTGCTAATTGCCTAATTAAGATGCTTCACTAACAAGTGGGGCTGTATGGTGCACAAAGGCAAATAACTTATTTACAGCTCAAACAGCACCGACACGTCTTCACCTAATAAACAGGCTGCCAGCACCGAACGGCTCTCCGCTGAACTACGGCGCTACCTTTTTCTTACTCGCGGATCAGCCAGGTATGACGAAGAGCTCTAACAGCTCCTAGCGGAGCTCTGACGAACAGCTCGGCCGGCTGACCTATGAGGTGAGGTCACAAGTCTCACCTGGGTGGCCAACTCAGCAGGGTGAGCAGCTCAGCGCTGAACTATGACGTCACAAGTCTCACCTGGTCAGCCAGCTGCTGACTTAGCAGCTCCGAGTTAAGCTGGACGCACAGATCGAGCGCCAGGCCGCGCAGCCGCCGCCCGGTGTCCGAGTGTAGGTAGGGCGGCACGGCGGTCTCCCGGGCCGGGGAGGCGGTGGGCGAGGTCAGGCACGCAGCCACCGAGGCCGGCTCCAGTCGAGACAGCAGCAGACCGTACAGGCGCCCCGCCGCCAGCCGCACCCAGGCGTGCGGGTGCAGCAGGTACTGCTTGATGTGGCCTGAAGGCGATGACAAACGTGGTCAGTCCAAGACGTAAAGCTATGCGCCAGAAATATAGACTACGCGAAGGAAATTGGTGACCGGTGATGTTCATGATACAGATCCGAAATTGACAGCAAATGATCACAATTCTAAATCTGACCTGTTTCTAGCAAAATTGATCTTCGAAATATTCATTTAACTCATTCAGTAAGCTCAGTAAGCAAATGCGCTGATTTCACCTCCACATGGGTACCCAGGTGTCCGACGATTCACCCCGTCGCCATCCCCCCGACCCTGTCTGCACCCCTCACTGACCCCAGGCTCGCGTCATGAGCGCCGCGTGCCGGTGGGCGGCCGTCATGGCCTGCGGACAGAGGGTGAGCAGCTTGAGCAGCGATCCGAGCAGCTGGTACAGCAGGTGGTCCGTGTGCTGCTCCGGGGAGCCGTTCAGCTCCGCCTGCGACACAGAGGGGAAGGAGGAGACGTGAGATACGCGGTTCTCTCACATGAAACAAACGATGGGCGAAAACTAACTTACACCACACTTACTGAGTACATGATGTAGTAACGATTTCTCGAGGTGCTAAACGTTGTTCGACACATCATTCCTTAACATATTATCTCTAGGATTTTACGAATTACAACAATGCAACTTCAAAATTGTGGCTCAATGCATAGTCAACAAGATTAGAGAAAAACTCGACCTCTTGAGGAGGCCACTCCCAAGCCTGCTAATAAGTCATACAAATTACACAATCCGCGCTGCAATATTATCCCTGCCTAGCGCTCCATCCGGATTACCAGTGGAAAGCCAGGCCGCCGTTACCAGAAGTTTATTTTCAAATACCATGAAAATTGACCTAAAACCCCCGCCGAGTCCAAGCCTCAGCCGCCTCACCTGCGGCGCGCTACCGAAGAAGTCGTTGAGCTCGGGGTCCATCCTGCCGCAGAGCTCGGGCAGCATGAGGTCCACCTCGGAGTCGGTGACGTCGGCGGCGTCGGAGAGGAACAGACCCACCAGCTGGGCGGCCATACGGCCCTGCTCCACCTGACAGAGGGAGACAAACGCAGTCAGCAGAGACAGGCTTCAACAACCATAGAGGAGAGAAAGGCGGAAGCAAGAACTGTGAAAAATATGTCAAAGTGCGCAACAGACATTCTTGAAAAGCTCTGTTGTTCTAAACTTCGCACAGCCGTAGATAAGATACTTTATCGTCCAATTTAACAAAACCTGGGAATTTCATCTTTTTACTTGAAACACACTGTACCGAGGTAATTCAGTTACTAAGTAGTAATTGTGAGACCAAACCATGGCCGAGAACCAGTAGCGCTGGCGTCTCCAGACCAGAGTTCTCCACCAGACCCGAACAGGCGTGTCGCAGACACTCGGCCACCTTTCCCGCACGACCGTCAGCTCGGTCGTGGAGAGCCTGGCCGCGCCGCCAGACTGCAGCCTGTTTTAAGAAAAGCCTTCAAAGTTAACCGAAGCCGGTTGAACCCATCCATCTTTCCCCACCACGTACCTTTTTAGCGGCATCCTCTCCTCGGAGCCAGGTGAGCGTCATGTCGAGCAGGTGTCGGCGCCGCTCGGCCGTCACCCGCTGCAGCAGCGCGGTGATGGTGGAGGCCACGCGGCGGCGGCCGGTCGGGGAGGGCTCTGAGACCAGGCGCGCAGACAGGTAGACAAACAGCAGCGGCGCCTGGGAGCTTAGCAGGCCCTGTAGGGTGTGGAGGGAAGCACATGGCGGTCAGAGGCTGGTGAAATAGATTCGTTTGTCAATGAGGATTAAATGTAGAGGCAGACGTACCATCATTGATGCAGAGACAATTACAAATAAAAGCAAACATAGTTGCACAAATATAGTGTGTGGCTTGAGTAATATTCAAATGCATGTGGAAAGTCGACGAAATCAATTAAAAGGGATAACACATAAGGAAGCTCGTTCTGTAGACCCACCTGCGGGAACTGTCGGCAGACGTCGGCTATCATGTCGAGCGCGGCCAGTCGGCCTGACTCCCGGTCATAGCCGAGCTGCTGCAGGAAGAACATGACGTGCTTCTTCACCTTATCACCCAGCGGATAGTCGAGCAGGTACTGCATCAGCACGGAGCGGGCCTGGGCGCGCGGCTGGTCCCCGTCGGCCGTCACCACCAGTTTAGCCAGGTGACGGACCACCTCTGCCAGCTCCGGCGCGTGCAGTTTCCGGCTGAACACGGCTCGCAGCAGCTGGAAGGCCGTGCCGCGGCGGCCGGCGTCCAGCAGGTCCTGCTCGGCGTACGTCAGCAGCACGCGCAGCTGCTCCTCGGTCAGTGTGTAGGCGGTGACATCCCGCACGAGCACGGTGACGGCGCGGAACGTCACGGCCACCATGTCGCCGTTCTCGCCGCTCGCCAGGCCCGGCGCCGCGTACTTGTGGAGCAGTGTGAACAGGGCGCCACTCACAGCCGCCAGCTGGCCCGGCAGAGACGGCAGGGGGAAGGTGAGCAGGTGCGTCCAGCAGCGCAGACAGACCGTTACCAGAGGCACACTGGGCTCCGACAAACAGCCCACCAGGAGAGGAACGAACGGGTCCAGCATGGATACGTGCCGACTCTCGGTCGCCACCACGCGGCCCTTCCGCAGCAGCGCGCTCAGCAACTGCAGGCCAAAGTCCACCAGCAGATGTGCGTTCACAGTCGAGTTGAGCCTGGCTGGCGCGCCGTGACGAGGCGGCGGTTTCTGAATCAACAACATATCCGGTCTCTGCAGCCAGTAAGGCAGCGGCTTTGTCTTGGCCTTCTTACCGGAGCCATCCTTTTTTACAGAGTCCGGCACTGGCAGACTCTGTGAGACCAGACCATGACCTAGGACCAGCAGTGCCGGCGTCTCCAGCCCGGTGTTCTCCACCAGACCCGAGCAAGCATGTCGCAGACACTCGGCCACCTTTCCCGCTGCCTTGGCGGTGCGTGAGCTGAGGGCCCATTCCTGTAGCGGTGCGATCAGCGCGTGCAGGTACGGCTCAGTTATATACTGCGCCAGGATGTGCAGCATCTTGTAACTCTTGACGCCCTTCGCCTCCGCCGTCTTCGATGTGATCTTCTGCACCTCCTTTTCCTCCGCGGTCTGACCGAAGAGCTCCATGTGGCAGATATCGACCACGTCCGACGCGCACGGGTCAAGGTCCCCAGCCTTCAGCTGTTCGCACATTCCGCGCAGCAGGGCGTGCGTGGTGAACACCATCACGTGCTGCTGATACCCGCGGCCCGACACGGCACGGAGCTCCGACAGCGCCAGCGGCAGGTGCGCCGGACCCAGCGCGCGCAGACAGCGCAGCAGCGTCTCACGCGCAGCCTCGCGCACGCTGGGAGTCTTCGAACGCAGCAGTTCACAGACTCGAGTCAGCACACTGGCTACGTTCGCTCCCAGGATGCCCTCAGGTAGTTTCTGTAGGAGTTTGATCATGGCTAGCGCCAGTGGTAGACGCTGCGAGCGCTCCTCGTCGGGATCAAGTGTCTTATTCGTGGCATGCTGCTCGTCACCCCGCGCGCGCCGCACCAGCCCGGCGTGCAGTCCCGGCAGAGTGGTCCGGATCAGAGTCCGGCAGATGAGCTCGGCCTGTTTGGCCGACTGCGCCACCGGCCCGGCTGCGGCCGGTGTTCCCTCCTCCTCCGGAACCTCGACAGCGGCGGGTTCCAGCGGCTCAGCAGCCGCCTCCTGACCCAGCGCGGTCTCACCCTCCGCCGGCTCCGAGTCCTCTGCCTCCTCCTTCTCCACCCGCGCCGGCTGCTCTGTGGGAGGACCGTTCACCTCGGGCACAGCCGCCTCCTGACGCCGCGTCTTCCAGCCCCGCTCGTCGGCGCGCGTGGCACTGATGATACTCATCGTCACATCGGGCGCCACAGAGGATAGATCGAATGGAAACGCATCCAGGACCGCCACTAGAACCTTGACGGCGTCACGCTGACGAGAGCAGGTCGGCAGCAGGGCGAGGAAGTGCCGCAGGAACGCCTGGTACTGGTGCCAAGACATCCGTCCCGATACGATTCCGATCAGTCGCACAGCAATGTCGGTCAAGCCAGTGTACTTGGCGTACTTCTCGTTGAAGAGGTACACGTTGCCCAGAGGTAGAATGTAGTTGGTCACCACGTCGGCACGCATCCGCAGAGAGCCATCAGTGAGGCCCTCCACGACTCTCTTCAGCGCGCGGGTGCGTCGGTGCACCTGAATGTGTCTGATATTCTCAAAGAAGTCATGTTCCGAGTCCGTCGCGTTGGAGAGTTGCGCCAGCTCGGCTAGTTTCGGCATGTGCTCGGCGGACGACTGTACGACCACCTGTAGGACAGCTACCGTGTCGTGGCGCAGCTGGTCCTCCTTGCTGCGCAGTCTGCGGCGCAGCGCCGGCAGGAGACAGGCAGAGAGAAACGCCACGGCCGCCGAACGGTGTGTGGTCAGCAGGCGCCCCACGGAGCGCGCCACCTCCTGCAGACAGAATGTAGAGCTGTCCCGCAGCGCCAGGTCGGCCTCGTGTTCGAGCGACCACAGACAGCAGTGCACCACCAGCCGCAGAAAATCCTCCTCCAGTAGCTCTGCGTGTCGTAATCGCTCGTTGACTCGTCCATACTCGACCAGACGCCGGTCAAAGTCGGGCTCGTCTACCTGTTTCGGGTCCATGGCACTGAGGGCGTCCACTGTCTCTGCAAGGGGTCGCACGGCCGGATCCCGCTCGCCGATGGTGCGCAGACAGCCGACTACTGCCAGGTGACTCTCCCTGTTGGGTAGATGAGAGAGTAGCGAGGACAGCGACCGGACAAACTGTACAGACCGGTCGGCGGCGCTCAACAGGTGCCGGAGAGTCACCAGTAGCTGTCGCTGGCGGCCCTCGGGCGGCGGACGGGCCGACCCCAGCACCGGTAGGAGCAGGGAGGCCAGAGAGGCGGCGTGCTCACGAGCCGGGCCCGCCTCCAGTCTACACACCGAGGACAGCACCGTCAGCTCAGTCGTGGATAGCCGCGCTGCGCCACCCGACTGCAGCCTGTTACGGAGGTACTCGAGCAGAGGAGTCACGTTCTCCGCCACAGCGGTCGGTCCGGTGACCGCGGCCGCCTCAGTCGCCCACTCCGGCAGCCCAGTGACGGTCAGTGGCGGCAGCGGCTCCTCAGAGGGCTCCCCATCCTCGTCGATTGTCGACAGAGTTGGCGGCGGAGCGCGCTCACTCAGCAGCTGTTCGGCGGCACGCACCACCGCCGCCGTCACCGACGAGTGACAACCCCGAACTGTCAGCAGGGACAGCATACACCAGAGGGGGCTGAGGCGGGGCGGCTCGGCGGTCTCCTTCACCAGCAGTGGGAAGTAGCGCGGAGAGGACGCCCAGACCAGGAACAGCTTCAGCAGACCCGTCGGCGCCGTTGTGGACTCCTGGGTGAGTTTTGGCAGCGACGGCCACACAGAAGCGATGAAGACCGCTTCGGTTTCTTCTGCGCTCCACGGGTACGTGTCAAACCTCTCGAACATATCACTCAGGCATGCCAGGATCATGCCGCGGATCTTCTTCAGAGTGCGCACATGCCACACAGGCAGGCGCTGCTGCTGCGCCAACAGAGCAGACACGTGTGCCGCTGCCCCGAGCAGTAGCCGCAGGAGCCGCGGGACGCTCGGCTGCAGTCGGCTGCCCAGTTTGAAGAACACAGCCGTCAGCAGCAGCAGCGCGCTCTGCAGCTGACGGAGCGGCAGCGCGTGGCGTGGGTCGGCCGCCTCCGTCACCTCACGCACCATCTGCACAGGATCGGGCTTCACCCGCGCCGCCAGTGCCGCTAGCGTCAGATCGAGGAATTGGTCCACCTCCTCCGACCGACAGCCGGCCAGAAAACCGACGATGACGCGTCGCCGAGCGGCCGCGTTGTCTCTGCTCGCCGCACCCTTTCCCGTGCTGGTGCGCATCCGACCGTAGAGAATACGAGTCAGAACGGGCAGGACGTGCGGTCGGTGCTCCGGCTTCAGAATTCCGGACTCTGTGTCGATGCTGAAGCTGGTCAGCGTCGTCTTGAAGTTGTTGTCCTCCATGAGGCTGAACAGAGTCTCACGGTACGGGTTGAGACCCTTGGCTTTGTAGGCGTACACGCATTCAAGGGCTACCTTCTGGACATCAGAGCGTTTGTGCGTGAGGAAGTGTAGGAACGTCTCAAAGAGCTGTGTCGACTTCTCCGATCGGCGCAGGCTTGTCATTTTCGACATCACAGTCAGGTGTGCACAGAGAGCCTGAACGATACCCTTCTTCTTATCTCCTCCCTTCTTCTTTCTCGGTCTCTCTTCTTCCTCCTCTTCATCCTCTTCAACATCTTCATCACCTCTATCATCACCCGACGTGTCTCCCTTCTGTTTCCGGAAATGTCCCTCCTGCGCCGGCCGCCGCCGATCCAACAGGTCCTGCTCGCGAGCGAAACTCATGTCACTCGAGAAGAACTCACGGTCAAGGAAGCTGAACAGCTCACTGATGAGCTGCGGGCCACAGATCGGCTCCAGAAGAGAGCAGAGATCGGCGGACATCTGCCATAGCAACAGACGGAAGTTGACGAAATCGAGTCGGTCGTCCAGAGCTGCCAGTCGCTCATCCAGCTCCTCAAGCTCTTCACGCTCAGCCTCAGCCGCATCACTCTGCTCTGTTTCCATCTCTTCTGTCTCGCCTTCATTCTCCTCTGCCTCTCCCGTCTCCTCTTTCTCACTCTCATCTTCTCCCTCCTCTCCCTCCATTTCAGGCATCATCTGCTTCCGCGCCGCCTCCGCTGCCTCCTTGGTGAGGTGACCCCACAGCTCCGCCAGCCTCTCCGTCGATAATCGATGACAGTGCGCCGCCGCCAACTCCTGACACGGTTTCCACAGCAGACGGAACGGTACGTGTAGCGTACCCAGCAGGTAGAGCAGCGGAGCCGCCGAGAAATCGCCGCACACTGGCAGACTGGCGGCGATGTACTCGGCGTCGAGCAGTTGGAGGAACTTGAGTCGTTCTTTGTAGCTCTGGATGTCTGCGGGTTGCTGCTCGGCCATCCAGCAGGTGGTGAACACCGAGCGAGCGGTACGCGGCGGACCGTCGGCGGGTGGTGGTGGGAGAGCCGGGTCGAACAGCGAGAGCAGGTGCAGCGTCAGCGCGCGCAGCTGGCGGAGGAGAAAATGAAAGCTGTCAGCAGATTGTTATTGCACTATAGAGCGGTAAAAGAAACAAGTGCAGTCAACATGTTTTCCAGATGGACGGAACAGTGGCATTCAGAGAAAGAATACTTGCTGGTTGACCTTTTCCGATAGCGTTTCCAATTATCCAATTCAAGTGGTTTGACAAATGAAACGGTTACCACAAATTATGCGGAATGAAAACCCCAAAAGCTGCAGCAATCGATAATTTTGGAGCGTTTGACGCATTTCCCTCACCTTGTGATGCGGCGACGCCAGGTTATGTCCCAGCGTCTGATAGAGCTCCAGCAACAGCTCGTCCGTCCTCAGCTCGGGCTCAGCAGCCGTCAGCAGCAGGTCCAGTATGCGCAGCAGGTGGGCGCTGCTGGCCAGCCGCCGCGAGCCGGCCAGTTTCAGCGCCGTCCGCCAGGCGGCAGCAGCATCGGCGGCGTCCAGTCGCAGCGCCGTCTCGGTCAGCTGGGAGAACAGGGCCAGCTGGGCGTGCAGGGAGGGCGGCAGGGGCGGCACCACCAGACGGACGGACGACACTGGGTCGGGCCGGTCTGGAACAGCGCAGAACGGGGTCAGCAAGCCTAAAATAACTCTGGGTTGGCTCCGACAGGGACGTTGGAGTCCTACGGCCAAAATCAAAGCAAATAAAGTTACAGAGCAATCACAAGTGTGTGTGTGTGTTTTTTTTTTACTCAGTTGAACTAAATCTACAGCAAAATTGAAGGAAATAAATTATGCAAACGATACAGCGAGACTAAATCACACTACCCACCGTCAGTGAGATGGTCCGCCTCCTGCTCCAGCAGCTGGTCGGCCAGCCGGTGCCACAGCGCCCAGACGGCGACAGCAGCGTCCTCGGGCGGCGGACGGAGGTGTGGCACCACCAGCAGGGCGGCCGTGAGGTCAGCAGAGGGTGCCGGCGGGCCGCTGTCGTCCGCCGGCCGCAGCAGACGCTCCACCAGCGCGCAGACGCTACTCTGGGGTGACTCGGGTGGATCATCCGAGCCTACGGTGCGCCGGCGGGCTGAGCGACGCGGCGCCGCCCTGCCGAACAGAAACGAAAGTTACTAAATGGGGGACGACTACATGGACTACATTGTGGACTACATGAGGACTACATGGAGGACTACATGGTACAGCTTTGCACGTCCACGATGGGCAAGGCACGAAACGGCTATTCGTTAACTTAATTTCGAAGTTAAAACATGTGTAAGCTGACGGATGCCCATTTACTCACTGTTTCTGTCTGATGAAGTTGAAGTCGATCGGGTACTGCCGCCAGTCTGCCCAGCTCTCTCCAGTCTCGGGAGGCGGCCGTCTCAGCAGCACCAGGCGGCTGAGCAGGCGCAGCGCCTCTGACGCGCTGTCAGCAGGCAGCCGGTGCAGCAGCGTCAGCAGCTCGGGCAGCAGCCGTCCCTCCAGCTCAGCCAGTCCCAGCAGGTGGCCACACAGCCGCAGCAGCGTACCGGGCGGCTGCGGGCCGCGCAGGGCCTGGCGGCAATTACGGAGGGGTAGAGATTCGTGAAAGGTTTTAGCAGGTGCGAAACTGTTGCATCAGCAAAGCCATAAATGATAATCGAATGTGTGATTTCCACTCTGACAAAAGTTCATCATCTGGCCACTCTCCGTACCTGATTGACCAGTTTCACAGCGTCGGCGGTGGCCAGCCGGGCGTTCTCCACACTCAGCAGTTTGGCTGCCAGGTCGGCGCCCGCCGCGCCAGCCTCCTCCGGCAGGGCAGAGGTCGCCAGCAGTCGGCCGCAGCGGCGCGCGCAGTCAGCAGCATCAGTAATCACCGCACCTCCGCGGAAAGTCGTCACGGAGAGTAACAGGGAGAGCAGCCGGTGGAGGAGGTCCGGTCGGTCCGAGGGACAACGCTCGACAGCCGCCTGCCGGGATGAAGGGAGGAGAGGGGTCAGATCGAAGGTTCCAGAGAGTGTATGAGCACATATTGAAAATAAAGTTTCACACATCATCATTAAAATCAAAACGATCAAAATTTAAAGAAAACCGACCGTGAAATGGTATCACAAGCAAAGTCACGCTCAAATTACTATTTCACTTTTCATATATCTTCATCCTGCATACCCACACACACCAAACATATCACGCATGTCCAATAATGTCTCACGGTTATAAAGTGGCACCACCTTTCTTCTAACTTAATGTATCCCACTACTCACCCAGAGCTCTGTCCAAATGGGCGCGGCGTTCTCCCTGGTCACGTGTCTGGCGGCAGCCAGCAGGGCTACATTGAGCGCCTGCTGAACCAGCTCAGCCGGTAGCCGCTCCGAGCCGAGCAGCTCGAGCTGCACGCGCAGCACGGCTGCGGCCTCAGTGTGGAGGTGTCCACGCACACCGCGCAGAGTCTCGAACACCAGCCGGCCGACGCCAGTCGCCTGCTGTGGGGACGGGGAGAGGACGGTCAGACCTTTGGCGGGAGCATCAATGCTGATCCAGGTTATCTTGGTACAGCGGCTGTCATACAACTGGGCAGCGTAGCATAAATCGAAAGAAAAATCGTGGCACACATTAGTGCAGTTCAACTGAAGGTATCCTCTGAAAACCTGAGGGTACTTCCGTACTTATCGCCCAGAGATGACAAAAAAAGAATGAAGAGGTTCCGAAGCGTGAAACACTCGTCTCCCTTTAGTAGCTCAACGGAATAGTCACAGTCCAGAATACATTAAAAAGAGCACAGCTCGCCTGGCACTTACCGAAGGATCACTTTTCAGCTTCGTGTAGACGAATCCGAAGAACTTGCTCTTGTCCTTGACTTTGCGGCAGACAAATGCGAAGCTCTCTGCGGCGAATCGTACCACATGGTCGGGCCGTCCGCCGCTGAGCAGCTGCCGGTACATCCGGTACGTCTGCTCAATGTTGGCCACCAGGTGGCGCCACAGCTGCTTGTAGAGGTGCGCCAGGCAGGTGAACAGCCACTGCAGCCTCTCCGGGTCGCGGGTGTCCAGCAGACGGCAGAGCAGCTCGAACAGAGCCGGGAACTGCGGCCCCAGGTCGGCACGCAGGTCTCTCGCCAGCGCCGAGAGCAGACTGCAGGGGCAGGGGTACGCAGAGGGTCAGAGGAGTGACGAGGAAGATTACGAAAAATGATAATTGAAATGTTTCTGCTGTTGTCTAGGCACTGTCAGCTGGTGCTGCAATGTCCAATATCAGCGTAAAAAAAGAAGTGATGGGCGAAAAACTCGGATAGCTTGTTAGTAACTATGCTACAATTAAACCATTCGATTGCCATCATGAGCGAGGTTTCAGACATCCTTATTAACAATGCGCTGGTTATAACCATCTCTACGATACTAACGCGAGCAGAGGCTGCAGGGCGAGCGAGTTCTCCACGGACAGGTGCTTCTTGAGCAGCTCGATGATCTCATCTTTACGATGCAGCAGTTGCGCGAAACTCTGCACATCGGGACCGAGCTCATTCTGAAAACTGAGGAAACAGAAGCAATAGGTAGGTGTCAGTGACATGATTTGATGCTTTAAAAGTAAAAAATGCAGTCAAGGCGGTGAGCCATTATGTGTAAACTATGTATTATAGCGATTATTCTGTGAAAATATTACACATGAACACAGCGATATTATTGAAAGGGCAAGTCATGGAAGAGACAGCTACACAATCGAATCGAAGCGACTTCGAACACTTACTCGGCGTAATGCTCGGTTAGGTTGAGATCGACCCATTTCTGGAGTTCTTCAAAGAAGAATGTGTCGGCATCTTCTGGCGTCTCATTGCGGGGGAGACTAACGTTCTGAGCGACATTGACGGATATCTCCGCGATACGCTCCGAAAATGTTTTAAACTGCGGAACAATGCACACGATCATAACCCCGTCAAGCATAATTCCGTGAAGATGTAACGGAACTATGATACATTCAAAATCAGCCGTGCTCATCCCTAGCCCAGGCGAAAGTATAAGTCCAACTATTTGCAATACAAAAGTGATGATAAAAGTGAGTGGTTGCCATTGAAACGGATGAGTAACACAACACATTTTATTGGCGAGGATGGAAGATGCGTTTAACATGCCATAGATCTCACCTTGTATCTATTTTCCAGCTTTTTATCTCCAGCCCCCATGGTGACTGAAGTTTTGAGGACTTGGTCACTTAATCATTAGTACGATTATTCCTGTAAAGAAAACGTAAAATCATATCAATGTATCATAGCAATGCATGACCAGGTCAATGAGCTCGGGCGTTTGTGAGTTGTGAGCGGCCTCGTCGGTGAGCACTGTCCTGGTACTGTGGTAAAAACGTGAGCGTTGTGAGATGATGAAAAAAAAAAAACAAGAAAATAAAAGAACCACCGGGCACTGGCTCACAATTGCACGATTACTACCGAGCATGGAAGTTACGAGAAGTACTACCGAGAAGTAGTTACGCATCGGGTGCCACATTCAACATAGATCGTTCAGTGCCGGTCCCATCCCGAGTCTGTGGCGACTGGCGAGTCTGTGGTTCTGAGCCCCGAGGCCAGTGGCGTGTCACAATGAATGTCGTCTCTGGTACGTGAACCGATATCGACCAGCCACGGCCATGCAGGTGACCATGACCTGTCACGTGACCTGATGCCGGTCTCAGCCAAGCGCGGCCACGACAGGGCATTGTTCAGCTGCGGAAAACGCCAGGTCCGACAGGACTGTCCCCGGTCCAGCTGGTTTACAGGCACAAATTACCCGTCCAGCTCACCGCAGTAAGCAAACTGGACACTGCTGAAGCCACTGCCGCAGTTCGGCAGAAGATCGAGAGGGTCTACAACCACAACACACAGGACGTGCTGGAGTTACACGTCGGTTCAAAGTGGCCGTATGGGAGCCTGGGACCAGCTGGTAGGACCGGTACGGCGGTAAGGCATCGTCGTGGAGGAGCAGCAACACCGCCAGAACCTCATCTGTTTGGGGAGCAGACGGGTGCTGGTGAGGAACCGTCGACATCTTCAGCGCCGGTACGGCCATGCCCATGCTCCCCCTCCCAGCCTCCCCCCCCCCCCACCCCCACCGGAGGGGAGACGGCAAGAAACGATGCCGACGAAACACTCGTCTTTCGACCTGTGTGTGACACTGGTAGTTGGTACAGCACACCCGACCACCGAGCCGCCGGTGACAGCGGACAGAGCGCGGGCACAAGTCGGAAGTTCCCAGACATACACGGACGATGCAGCAGGGGTCTCGTCGCCAGTAGCACCTCCGATCCTGCCAGCACCAGATTTGACACCGGTGCCTCTGGGAGACATGACAGGCATGGAACAGATGTTTGCTCTCAGGAGACCTGGTCACAACTGCAGCCAGCCATTATGGCATTTGAGGAGATAGCAATGTACCCATGTACTATGCCCCAGGGGAGGAGAGGCACAGACCCAAAAGTTGTTGATTTGGGTGGGAAACAGCATCCACATGTCATGAAAAGCATTTTGCACTCTCACCTCCAATTCTAACTGCAATTTCTCACTCCCAATTTTACTGAGAAAAGTATTTGTGTGGATGATTGTTTTGCATCCTACTTTTTGCCACACTTATATAGAAACTTATACCCCTATCATCCCCTTTTTGGAAAAGAATTTCCCCTCTGACACCCAAGTCAAAATACAACTTTGGAACATTGAGGAGAGGTAATGCAACTAATGTTGCACCTGGAATTGCCCCACATGCTGGGGACATGCAGGCTAGCAGCTGCCCTGGTGGGGAAATGCTGTCCCATTGCTTAGTTCCATCTCACAATGTTCAGCAGCTTGTCAGTGCTTAGTGGTCACTGAACACAGACTGCACAGCCAGTGGCCAGTGGTCCTTGGCCGATCACACAACAGTGGTCAACTCAACTCATCATACAATATATCTGGTGCAGATGACTGCAAGGAGGGGAGGGGAGGAGCCAGATCATAGCTAAGACTGGATAAGAAAACCTGGGACCCTCAAATGGGGCTAGGTGTCATTTCAATGCTAGGTTCATAAGTAGGTTTTAGGTTTGTAGGTTGTAGGTGTAGGACGTAGGTAAGGTTAGGTCAGGTTATTTATGTTAGATATGCTAACAGTGACAGGAAGTCTGAAGAATAGTGATGGCAAGACAGGTGTTGGTCCTTTGAGTCGATAGGTAGCTATCACAAACACTGAGAATACCACATGAGCAGTGGACATTGACAGGTATTGCATCTTATTTGCATCAGCATGGAGAACCCACACTTATGCTGGTGGCAGGTGGCAGCATTACTATGGAAGAACCCACACACTTGTGGTGGTGGCAACTGGCATGTCCATTATTGGAGATTGCCACAATGAAAACGCTAAGGGACATTCAAGGCTTCAGCCTCTGGTCCAGTCCATGCACATTATATAATGAACTTGTGGGACTATACCACAAGTGGGTATACAGTGGGTGGGACTATACCTTAGCCATGACATAGGCGGCAGAACGGGGAGGGCACTGGTGCACCATGCCCCCCCCATTGATTTCGACATTTTAACGTTAGTCCTATGGGCATTGCATTGGCATGGAAAGAATGAGACCAAAAGTCGGCAGTGCCCCCCCCCTTAATTGAAGGTGTTCTGTTGCTACTGATCCATGACCATATCAATAACGTGCAATTGAATCTGAATGGGTTTGGGTTGGGATTGGGATTTGGGATTGGGATTGGATTGAATTGAATCGAGCACGGATTACAGATCAGATCTGATCATCTGATCAGATCAGATGAGATACGCATACCACGTATGACCACCACCTTGATGTCGCACCTAAGGACAATGATGATTCAGTCTTGTCTTTTTTCTTCTGCAATATGAAAATATGACTGTGAAGCCCCCTAACTATCAAATAACCCCTGCAATTCCACAAAACCGGCAAAAAAAAACAGCGAAATTCACGTGTATACTGTATACTTTTGTATCGAATGCGCCGTGTGGCGCCGTGATTGGACGTTATGCTTCCATATTTCCCTTCAATATGGTTGCACCGTCGAAAATCCCTTTATGTCTGCTTTGACCTGAATGAAAAAAGCGCTGGCCCGATTTATATTCCTGTGATATTTATGACACGGTGAGTAAATAGCTGCTAAATATTAAATTTATGAATTTCCAATTCACTTATCAGTCACGTGGTAAACTTATGATTGCTTGCATTGAAGGCAGTTTGGGACAATATGGTATTTTGCTGAGGATGAGGGAAGTGTTGCCCTGATAATTTGATTTAGATAGCAATTTAAATTATTTTTTATAAGAGATCTCACTTATTCTGGTTACTATTTTAAGACAGTACACATATATACCCTCATTATTTGCAGAATTGCCTGATCTGTCATCTGTGTATTTGGCTAGACAATAAAGGCATTTCTCGCGTTCTCGTGTGATTGTGATTTTTCAGTTCAAGTTGTGGGCACTGGGCAGTTGTGAAAATATATCATTGCATCACATTTTCAGATTTCAATGCATTCAATTTAGTGACCCCCTTAATTTTAACTTGACAAACACTGCTACATTTTTTTTAGAAAAATTACCTCAAATGTTTGAATGCCTGATTAGTGATTGACAGCTTGAGCCTTGAGCCCACTCTTTAAAGCACATATTGTGCACACCCCGACACCTGCCATCTGAGCCCTGATCGGCGGCCGGCTAGTACTCTTGCCCGCGCTCACATACGTGCACGTTACCCCGGCAACGGGCTATTGACCAATGAGAAGCGAGAAAAGTGTTACGTCACTGCGATTTTTCATATACCTGTGCCCCCCGGACGTGACGTAGTGTGCTCGCGCGCGTGCAGGGTCTCTGCGATCGAAAAAGAGCGCTAGCAGCGCGCCACTCGACGCCGCAATTGTCAAAAGCGGCGTGTTAGTATGCTTTATTGTGAATGATGTGTGTAAAAGTGAGTTTTTATGTTGTTTATTTGGAGGAAATGGTTGCAATAAATTAAGTTATTTTTATTTCTATTAGTTGGAGTTTTTATTCAAAAGATTTCGGTCTATACCATTGATATTTATTGAAAATACCTTCGCTTGAATCAATTGCAGATATTTGGCAACTGAAGTGTTAGGTAAGCCTAAATGATATGTAAAAAGGTAAGAGACACCGTGATTATCATTTGAGAAACGAAAATATATGAATTTTCCTTATAAGACTCGCTCAATATGCTACTCCGCGGTTTATGCCCCGAGGGTGTCCGAGGGTTCCCGTTAGTTTGTCGTTGGCGCTCGGCTCGCGCGCGAGCCGACGTCACCGCCTGTGACGTCGGCTCGCGAAATACGTCATACCCTGCACACAAAATAGCCGGCTGCCGAACAGCGCTCTGATCCAACAATCCTGGCCCTAGGTAACAAGAAAATTTAAATGCCTAATCTAAAGGTGCTGGCCCATCAGAGCCAGACATGGCCTGTCCTACTCAACTCAAGTCAACTCTCAACTGACTTCAACTGACTGCAGCTGCTCCCATGACCCACCTACCATGGGGCATAGAACATCCCTTTTCTCTGTCAGGAGTTTCAAATATTGAGCACTGGCATGACTCAAAGCTGTGCTCCCATTGCTGAGTGTCCAATGACCAATCCTCTACCAACTGAGCCACAGAACTGCTATGGCCTATGGGATGTACCCCTGCATTGCAGAAATACCCTGGGGCCTGAAATGTAGAATGATTGATGTGCTGCTGTGTGTGCCAGGTTTCAGGTGAACTGAACCAGTTGGTCAATTTGTAAACTGAATTAAATATCTGCTCAGATTTGATCTCCAGTAAACTGAATTAAATATCTGCTCAGATTTGATCTCCAGAACCTCACAGGGAGTCTCACACATTTTGATTCATGTTTATGATTGTCAGTGCCATGGTTGTACTGAACCCATTATAGCATGCCACTTGCAGCATTCCTGTAAACTGCTACTCTGTTTCCTGTGGATTAATGATTTTCCTTTATATGTGTCATGACTTGCATATGTTATATGCTGTATGAAGGTTGGTGTACCATGTTCCTGTGCTGAACCAGTATTCCCTCAGCATGACTTTTCATTTGTGAACTTATTTCCAGCTAAGCAAAGCCAATCAAGATGGATTTTGGCTATCTTCTGGAGATTGCAAAACAAAATGAGGATGCCTCAAGGGATTTGGTATGTATTTTTTGACTGATATAGGAAGTTCAAGACAGTTAGCTTGTGGCATTTTTGATTTTTTTTTTGATTGTATGAAATTAAATGAAAGTCTGTCTGAAAGTCTTTGATAATAGAGTTTTTGATCATATTCCATCAACTCTGTACTTTTTTCTGTTACCCAACAGGCCAAACAAAAGCGATTTTCAACTGAACTTTCTAAACCAAAAAAGCTTGAGAAGTCAAAAGTCAAGTCTGGCAATATCCAGAGATTCCTCGCCCAAAGGGAGGCTGAGGAGAAGAAGAAGCAGGAGGAAGAGAGGAAGAAGAAAGAGGTCTGTACTTAGTGCCAATCTAGATATGATAAGCATATACTGAAGTCAGTGGATAGATTGACAAGTGCTGGTCCTGGGAGGTTTGGCATTTAATAGTGTTAATCGTTTTATTTTCATTTACAGACTAAAATTTTGAATATCAGTTGACCTATTTGTATTTCTAAGCAAGTGTAATTGCAGAGATTTATCTATAATAGATGACGATCGACTCTCGTCGGGCGTCAGCGTAACACCGTGGGGGTGACCGACACCAACTGATCCCCCCCCCCCCTCCGCTCCCCCCGGCAGACACTGCTGCACCTGCGCAGCGAACAGAAGGGCGCCAAACGGCGGGTGAGCGCCATGCTGAACCGCACCAAAGGCGCCAACCGTTCCGTACTGGAGGACGCCAAGGACAAGTACAACACGGCTGCCACCATCGACGGTACGGAAACGGAAGACCTCCGAGGCTCCGAGCTATGATTAGTTTGCATAACAGCAAGCTTGCTAGCGTGGTGATAGCAATAACTCGTGGTGTGTACCTATCGCTCTTCAGCTTCGTTTTTTTTTTACCGAACTTTTTTTGTGACAGGTGCTTACCAGCCAGACGAGGACGACTATGGATACGAGTCCAAGACGGCCACCGACATGTACAGCAAGCTGCTGCAGCAGTACGAGAAGATGCCTGACAAGGAGTACCTCAAACAGAAGAAGAAGACGAAGGCAAACGCGGAGCGCAGTCTCGACCTGGCCGCCACCAAGGTGGGTCATTATGCTGGTGTGGTCGCTATAAATTATCATGTGTAGTGTGTGTAGGACCAAATACTGTGTTGGCTTATCGCGTTCCCGTCGTATTAACTCTGGTATGTCGTTGCATCTGCTGATTGCTCATGCTGGTAGCAGTGATTCTTATATGTTTGATGTATCGATATTTGGCCGTGTCTGACGGAACTCGGCACCGTCTGACGGTCATGGTGCGTTGCAGGCGCGCGTGAAACAGTCCCTGGATAACCAGGAGGAGGAGGAGCGTAACATGAAGGGCCACCGGCGGCGGCGGAAGCACGGCGAGTCCTCCTCGACGGCGACAGAGACGACCGCGCGGACCGCCTCGCCCACCGCCGGCCGCGCCACCGACGACGGTGGGGGTGGAAGCAAAAAGAAGAAGGCGCCTCCGGTGCGTCGCGGAGGCGCCCCTCCGCCTCCCGGCCTCGACTTCCACTCGATCCTGGCTCTGGCGGCCGAGAAGCAGCACCAACCGATCGTGGTGCCGGAGAAGCCGGCTGCCGACCCGGAGCAGCGGCCGCTCACCGCCCGCGAGAAGGCCGACCTGGAGGCCAGCCGGCAGCGCGAGCTGCGCAAACAGGGCAAACTGCCGCCGGCCAAACACAAGGACTACAACGACCTCCTGCCGCCGGAGAAACCCCGCCGCGGCTCAAAGATACCCAAGAAGGAGGTGAAGTCAGAGGCGGTGGTGAGGGAGGAACCCGAACCGGAGCCGCGGCCCGGTCCGTCCGGCGCGCGGCCCGCCGAGAAACCCCGGCACAAGGACAGCCCGTCCCGACCGCCGGCGGCTGACGTACAGCGCAAACCGGCGCCGGAGGTGCGCCGGAGAGCGGCCTCACCACCGGACCCGCGGCGGCCCGGCCTGGCACCGCCGTCCACCTCCAAACGGAAATCGTCCCCGCCGCCGCCGCCGTCAGCCAAAAAACACGCGCCGGAGGCCAAAAAGAAACCAGCGATGGACGTGAAACCGAAGCAGTTCCCTCCTGCTGATCTCAAACCGAAGCAGTTCCCTCCTGCTGACATGAAGAGGAAGCAGTTCCCGCCGGCGGATGTAAAGCGGAAGCAGTTCCCGCCGGCCGACCTGCAGCCGAAGCAGTTCCCGCCGGCGGACATGAAGAAGCGTCGTTTCAACCCGGCCAACCTCAGCCGACAGCCGGCCAGACACAGTGAGTACGGGCGGCTACACCGCGGGGACTTCAGGGGAAGGCACATGTATTCCTAGATGTAAACGAGCTTTGGAAATCTTATTTGGATAGGCGACTATCTTGTCGTGGGGACATGCTGTAATGAGTCGGTCTCCACTTTTACGGTGCACCAACTTCTAATACGTGACCAATGGCCATCCTGTTTCCATATCGAGCCTTTGTGTTGCACGTTACGTCACAACTATATCGTTATCGCACCGATAATCTTTTCCGATCCGGTGCAGTGTGTTTGAGCTTTACGTCTCGTTCACAGACCGTATCGAGTCGGACGACTCGGAATACGACTCCGAGATGGACGACTTTATCGACGACGGTCCGCAAGGAGACGAGAACGATTATTCGTCGGCCATCAAACAGATCTTCGGCTACGACAAGAGCAAGTAAGTAACACCGACAGGGATGTGCGACTGATAGCTCGCTATGTGATCAAAGGTCTTCAAATTGCTGACAATGTCTTAAATTTGCTGACGCCTGACAGTAAAAGGATAAATTGACGGTTTGTCCATAGTATTCACGTGTTGTACATAAGTTTGGCGTTTGTCACATTTGTGTCAGTATTTCCTGTATATTGTCCACGAATATATGTTTCTGTCTTCATGCCAAGACAGTGGAGTCGTGTATTTCATACACATCACGTAACCCTTCCAACCCTCCCTCGTCCGTCCCTCAGGTACCGGGATATTGACGAGGACGACTCCGACATGGAGGCCGACTTCAGCACCCTGATGAGCGAGGAGGCCCGCTCGGCCCGCCTGGCCGCGCAGGAAGACGAGCAAGAGTTCCGAAAGGAAATGGAACACAAAAAGCGCAAAATGGCCATGAAGAAACGTGCCATGATGGGACGCTAGGCGGTCGGTAGCTGGAAGCGACCCATATCGCTGGTTGGTCATGAAGGGGCTTCCAGAGTATGCTGTTGAGTGGGTTTGCTGGGAATGGTAGCCCTCCGTCTGGTATGGCGGGTGAGCAAGGAGCATGGAAAGCAGAGGGTCCAATCCAACGCCCGGCGGATGGACGGCGGAGACGAGTCCCTGGATGGATGTCAGCGCACCTTCCGCATCGGATTCCGTACAAACTGACTGGTACGAACGCCAGTGGAGCTGTGGCGTCCGGCGTCAGTGATTGTCTTGAGGGTGTAAAGAAAGTATATGAAGACAGCGATATGAAAACAAGAGACCATATTACTGTTGAAAGCTTTCACGTACCGATACTTACAGATGAACCTGAGTACGAGTTGGCGCTAGGCTGACTGATGAACCTAGCAGGCACCTCAGTTTGTATGCTTATGATTGTTTACTAACCCGCATGAAGTTGTGGTGTGGTTTTGTGCGTGAATTAATCCTGGGCGGGCTGGAGTTTGGATAAGTCCTCTTTCTAATGAAAGGACGCGTGTCTCACGTGTGCCTAACGAAAACGCTATCCCGTTGTGATGCATGCAGATGCTACAGAGAATCTAATGCCAGCCCTTTGCTTTGGGTTGGTAAGGCAAGGCGCAGGCCATCCTAACCCGAAACCCATCGCGATGAGTTTCACTTATTTATTTTACATGTTCAGTGTTGATGACTGCAGCGCAGTTGTCCCAAGATATGACGTCTTCCAAGACAGTTGTTGTTTTGTATATTTTTGTACCGCCGTGTCAGATACGTTTGTTTAATACCTGTTTATTGCTGGTTTCTTCAATGAAGTAGCCGTTTAGTTTCACAAATCAACATTGCGATGATTTCATTGGTCCGAGTCGGCCCTAGTTTTTAAAGCCGTCTGTCATTGATCTGTTCTGAGGGACGCTGTTGCTCCTTAACACTGGTTCTGCAGTCGCTGGTGATCTCTGAGCCTTGGTAGCCAAGATTAGACTGGGGGTAGGTCTTGGCCTGTGCGAACTAGCCTGGGACTGACTGAACAAACATTGGATGCTGGACCAGTATGTCTCCCATGAGTTGGGTACCAGTCAGGATTCTTACCCCATGCTGTATCCCTTCCTGCATTTGCCGGCGCGACTCTGATAATGCTCTCTAACACATGTTTATCTCCCACTGAAGATCGCCGTATATGTACTATGGTCTGGCTCAACCGCGGTATCTCGGCTGTCTGCCTTCACGATATCGAACAACGTTATGTGCCTGGCGATGGGCGGCCTCGTGCCTTCCTCCGCCGCCGGCCCACCGACTGGAGAGAATCCATTCCGTGCGTAGGTAGACGGCGAGTGGACGTTTTGAATGCTGAGGCCGAGTTTGTTGCGGACAGAGGCCTAGATAGCGGGTGCCAGAAACGCAGCAAGAGAAGGATGGGCCGTAAACGTGAGAAGGTAGCCTGAAGGACGTGTTTGAATTATTGACTGACAGACGGACCGGACGGACCCGTGGAGGAGCATAAGAAGGAAAGAGCAAAGACCTACTGACTGGTGGACGGACAGATGGGAGTCTGCAATTGCTAGCTGATAGCGTGTGACTTATGCTCGCTGTGTACTGTATCTCGTTGCAATTCCCTTGCCGTGCGAGAGTTTGCTGTGTTGTTTTGTGTGTGATCTGTTAGCCTTCGTCTGGTGGGCGTTTGCTGTACCAGGCTTCTCCTTCACGGGATGTGTTCAGCCTTTGGCCGGGCCGCTTGCACGTGTCGCGTCGTGGCCGCTACTGTTCGCATATGAATATATTTGATATTGAAATCGCTTGGATTAATGCGCATGATTGACCACTTACATAGCGAGTTGCCGTCATTCACGAAAACAGGATAATTACATTTGGAGAGTCGAAGCCTATTGCTCGTGGTCATTTGTGCAGTTATGAAGTGCAGTTGTCATTTTTTTTTTTCGGGGAAACCAATGCCTCAGCTAATGAAAACGGCGACGCAAAAATACGTCAATATTTCGCTGTCTCTGCGCTCGCTCAGAAGATTCGAGAAACAATTAAGTCATGTATTGGTCAGACCTTGTGATACCCGCCAGTTCATGTCTGACGTTACTGTTAGGCTCAGAGCCGTTCGCCACCACAAATCCCTGCATGGAGGGGCGACAGCGCAGCGACGGCCCGCGCCAGTGGCTCGATCGGCGCGATTCCGCACCAAGTGCCGGCGGAATAGAGCGCTCACATGGATCTGACTGTGGACATCACAGTCAAACAATACACAGATCCAGACTCCGCGGGAGTGTGGATATATTCCCCCGATATTCTCCCAAGCTCCGCGGGAGCCCGGGATATCCCGATCACAGCTGAGGAGGACGGCGTACATCGCGTACCGTACACACGATCCGAGGTACAAACGCCCCGGTACATCCCAGAGACTGACGGGGGCCGCAGGAGTCCAATATACCGCTCACAAACGGCGAACACTCAACCTCACCCATCCATCCGCCCATACTGCACACATAACCCCATTACCCAACATTACACAACATTCACAAAATGTGCACTACACCAACACATTAGTGCGTGCGGAAATACCGGTAACAATACGTAAAACTTGTTAAATTAAAAACAACCAGATATGTTCCATCGAACTACAGCTAGCACACAGCAACAACGGCCGATACTGGCCGAGGCAGTCATCAACAATGGAATACCACTGAAGATCAATGCTCGGAAGTCTAACCCCTGACACCACCGTCTCTCTTTTGTATGACTCCAGGCAGCTGAGATCCTCCACGGCTCCCACGTTCACCCCATTCCCCAGTCACCTCGTTCAGTCACCAGTCATCTACATATGTGACTGGTCTCAGCTGTTCAGTCTTCCGCAGCTGTTTCGTCCTTCAGTCCTCAGTCAAGGCTGCTCCCCCGCAGCTCAGTCACCAGTCCCTCAATCCCACTTTCCCCATCCCCTCCCCCTCAGTCTACGCGCCGGTGCACTGAGCGCTGTCAGCTGGTAAATACCTCATTAAGCACCAACAGCCGGTCCTCGAACGGCGGCCGATCGCAGCGCAACCTCTCGTAACTGCGCTCCGCCGCCGGGTCTCGCATTATCTCCAGATGCCGCAGACACCGCTGCTCCGAGTCTGCCCTGGCGGCGTCGGAGAGTCGGCGCGGTGACGCCAGCTCGGCTATTAGTTCCTGTAGCGTGCGCTGCCGGCACACGGCAGTGGCGACGGGCGGTGGCCGCGGCCGCACCGGCCGGCCCCCGAACAGCTGGGGGAGAGACAGGAGGTCAGGTGGGGTCACACCTAGCCACCATCGTTTCAGTATCAATGACACACAGCGAGAGATACTAGCACGATGCCGGTCAGGATGAGATATTGAAGATTCCACTGTCACAGATAGTTGACAAACCACTAACCTTGAATCGTCTGTGTCGCGGGTCATCGGTAATCTCTTGTAGGATGTCGTCCAGACGGGGTCCCGAGCAGCAGGCCAACGCCGCCGGATCCATCGGGTGCGCCTCTGTGGTAAGGGAACAGACACAGTTAGAGGGACCAAGGTTCACCGCGTGGGCTTTCGCTACAGCAGACAACGTGAGACAACGTGAAAGCATCAGGCAAGTCCCTGGGCCGTGGAGCATTAGTAAAGTAATCTTGCGTGGAGTGTGGACAGACAAAACTTAGGAGGCAGGATTCATAAGATTCTTTAGTGGGATCCAAGAGTTCGGCTATCAGTGCTAGCGCAAAAATCGAAGTTTCTTTTTGAAAAAGGCAGCAAGCAGTTCGTAAAATGACAACAATCATCAACGAACTGTTGTGCTACATGCTGAATAAGGTCGACAGTATACCTCAGGATACACTAGTGCGCCTGATTTCCGAGAATTTTAATGACGATGAAGTTGAAACTGCAAAAAGTCTTCTTTGTTCTCACGTGGATGATTCTGTCAAGGCTGGTAATCGTCGTGGGCAGAATAAAAAACAGCTGAATATTCAAGATATCTTCAAGATGATCCTTGAATGCAACAGAGGTGACCTGCCGAGGTTCGTCGCACTGAACCTTGATAAGCTGCCGCCGATATCGATAGACTGCATCGATGTGAGCGCGCTCCTCAGGAAACAGCAGTTGATGGAGATGGACATGTCTCAGCTGAAGTCCACTGTTGATGAAGTGCTGAAGGTGAGCGCTGAGACGTCGCGAAGAGTCGAGACTGTGCTGTGCGCCGGTGCTGGTGCCGGCCGGGTCAGTCTGACGACGCTGAATGTTCCCGAGCGACCGGTCCCTCAGGAGAGGACCTCTGCCACTGCCAGCCCGGAAGGACCGACTGCTTCGACCCGTCCTGGAGGACACCCCGACACCCAGAGAACGCCTGGATCTGCGCCAGAGCTTGGCGAGTCGCGTCTTCCTGCCCATCCAGAGGATAGGGTGCCGGAGGCGGCGGCGGCGGCGGCGTCATACGCTGCTGTTGCTGCTGCACCTGTGCCTTCAACGGAGGAGGGCTGGAACATTGCCAACAAGGCTAAGCGCGGTACCAATCCTGCTGAGCGAGGTAAGGTGGCTGCTGCGAAACCGAAAGGCAAAGTTATGCCAGCGAAAAGTGTAGTTGGGCTCCAAAAATCAAATGTGATCAAAGCTGTTCAGTCTGTGAAGCGCATCTCGCTTTTCGTATCTCGGCTCCCACCTGGCACAGACACTGTCACTCTGCAGGAGTATGCCAAGGAGCAGGTAGGAGCGTCAGAAGTGGTGGCAACCAAACTGGAGACTAGGTATGACTCTTATGAATCCTATCGTCTCGATGTGACCGATCCGTCAGTGGATGACGTCCTGGAGCCAGAGATATGGGCACAGGGCCTTCTCGTGCGCCGTTATTTTGTGAAAAGATCTGATCCCGATTCATCGGAGCCCCGTAGACCTGTATCTTCTCGATGACTTGTTATCTGGCGTCCTCTCCATCTGTCTGGTTCATGCTGTACTGTCCCACATATTTTACAATCAGATGCGGATAAGTTCATATACTGCCAGTCTTCTAAACGTAACATTGGAGGAATCAAATTGCTTTGCGATGTTTCAGATATAGTTTTGCTGCAGGAGCACTGGCTCTATCCTTTTGATCTTCCCAGCCTTAATACCTTGCACAAAGATTTCATGACATTTGGAATTTCATCCATTGATGTATCCGATGGTATTGTGCTAGGACGCCCGTACGGTGGTGTAGCAGTTATGTGGAGAAAGGAC